AGAGCCATGAAGTTCTGCAAATACTTCTTTACTGCGTTGAAATTATATGTGTCAATCATCCAAGTATCACCAAGCTTCTTGAAATCTAGATATGTACAAACAGCCTTGATTGTCTTCTCAGTCAGACTTATAAAACAGTAAGTTCTCTGATAGTATTAGACCTCACCTCTCACTTAAAATGCAAGTGGGCACAGTTTCTTTTTTGGTTGAAATATTAATAATCCTTAGAACAAACCTCAGTGCATAGTCAAGCATCTCCTCAGAAACAGTTTTTAAAATAAGCAGGTCTAGAGCTTATATCATGTTTGTGTCTGATGGTGCTGAGCCATTACATGCATCCCTAAATTTATATTCAGTGCAGTAATGCTACACATTTTATAGCACACAGTAGGTGCACAGAACATGAGTCACAAGTCACATTTTCATTCAGGAGGTTTGATTCCTCTGGTAGCTGTTATTCATAGCCCAGGTTTGATAAGAAGCGAACACCATCTGAAAGGAAACACGTTGGTCAGTACTTCGTGTTCTGAGGTTTCAGAGTCAGTATTTAGAGTCAGTACAGCAGCCTGGGCCATCCTCCTGGTGCAGGGATAAATGTTATTGCACACACAGTACATGCGAGACTACTTCTCTCCATCTTCATGCCAAGAACCTGCTGCCACAGCAGCTGCCTGCTGGTTAAGGATGGTTCATGAGCTGTCATGGCAAAGCAGCCAGTGGTCAGGAAGCATGTCCTCTAAAGGCCCTGCAGTGCATAGGGAAGACCCAGGCTTTCACCATGTTTTTGTAGTCTGCAGACCTCTGTGCTTTCTAATTGTGTCAGGGGCTAATTTTCTATGGGCCGTACTTTGTGCTACATGAGTGCCTGCTCTAACAGTTTTTCTCCTGCCATGGAAGCTCTAGGCCTCCCTGGTAGTGGTGCATCATTTAGCAACCAGACAAATGTTCACTCCAAATACTGCCTGATTATTCAAGATAAGCTGACATCCATTTGGTTTTCCTTAAGATAACCCATTATGTTTTCCACATTTCTCTGCAAGTTGTTGTTCATAACCAGCTGAACCCATTTTGCAGTGAGAGCAAGGTGAACAGCTGAGGGAAAAAACTAGGACAACACTGAAAAAACCCCAAACAACCAATTAAGAAACTAAATGTGTTTTGAAATGTTCATCTAAATAAAACCTGAAAAGCAGCATCTTTTGTTGTTTGGCTTTTTCAATACTTCGAACTTTCAAAATAACACTAAAAATATAAGGGAATCACTTTTATAAAGCCATTTTAAAATGTGAAGAAAGATGGAAATGTCATAGTACAAAAGGCGGGTAGCTTTAATTTTGCAATATTTATTTTGTATTCTTTTAAGAGAACTTTTGAATTAAAATGCATTATGTAAGCATATAAATGTTACAAAACCAAAACATTTTATCAAAATAAAACCACATTCAAAAGAATCTTGTCTTTTTTCCACTCTTCCTATCCACGGTAAATATGCCTTTCCTTTTGCCATAACTTTCTGTGATTTGGGTTTACATCTATAACTGTCTTCGGTTTCCACCTGTAAAATTACCATATTTCCTCCATTATCCATATAATAACTTAAAAGGAGCAGAGATTTTTTTTTTTTCCCAGTATATGTGTTCAGTGCCTTTTGTCATGAATTCTTGACTTTGTTGAGAGTCTGAAGCTGATAACAACCTTCCAACATATTTCTCTGTACCAAAAATAAGGGCCAATTAAGCCATGGGTATTTTTTATGCAAATAACACCTAACATATTACTAAATAGATGAGGATTAATAATATGTTCACCAAAACTACCAAGAAGGTTGAGACAGATTTCATTTAATTTAACTTACAGTAAAATGCTATATTTTTTTGTGTGTTTAAATTATAATGGCCTGCCTTCAACTCACATTTACTGGTAAGCTATTATGTAGCCCATATGAAACACTGAGTAAGAACAAAATTTTGGGATTAATTCTAAATGCTGAGAAGATGGTAGATATGTAATGATTTTTAGGTAATTTAAATGGCTGAATAGACAGACACAGACAGGAATGAAGTTATTGACTGGCAACATACAGCAGCTCCTTTCAAAAGCTTTCACCTAATTTAAAGAAGCCTAACATGAGAGACCAAAACTGGAGAATTACATACATTAATCTTGTCATGGCCTTTTGAATGTGAATTACAATTTAGAGTCTTCTATATGACATTTAATTTATATTTATGGCAGCAGAGTAACAATAAAGTAACTAATAATGGTTACATTTCTAGGAAATAAAGAGTGGGAATTACAAATGTACGTGGAAACTAAAGTGTCCTATTTCTTTGCTTTTTCATCTATTTTTTCCATCAATTTTTCCTTGTTCAGACAAAATTAATATTACAGCATTTCTCATATCCTCAGTACTATGCTGGCACTTTTTAATAGGCCAAGATAATTTGTTGGCATAAAAATGAGCCTATTTTTAAAATAAAAGGATTTTTTTTTTTAAGTTATAGGTGGGCATTTTTCCACCTTGCCTTTCTGAGAGGGAGGACACAGAAGAGCTGGGTATGGTAGCATAGCTTACATGTGTTTTATTGCAGGAATTTCCTGCAATTATACAGCTACTGGAGAGCCACATAAAACCTTCACTTTTTCCTTAATTTTTTTTGCTTGCACAGGCCAGCATCATATACTCCACTAGGCTGAAGGAGATAATCTTGAAGGTACTAACGTGATTACAGTTTAGGAAAATAGAGTTATACAATTGCAGCTTGGGCATGTGCCATCTCTGCACTCCAAGTCCAGACTTGAACTACCATCCACTCTGCTGCTGACCCGATGGCCAAAGGCTTAATGCAAAGGATTTAATGACTGGCTGGATACAAAGGGTCATATGGTAAAGAGAGCTGAAAGTTGCTATGACTTGTTAATCAATTAGAGGGGTTAAAACATCTGCCACAATGGAAACCTAAACCAATACATGCATACATTTCATCAGTACAGAATTCCTCTTTATCCTGAATAAAATTAGATTGTTTTCTTCCTTAACAATGTTCCTGCCAGCTCACCAGAGACTGACCTACAACTTTCTGTGCACATGGAAGAGTACAAAGTTTTAATGCATGCTGCCTCAGCTATTTAGGCTAGCAAGACCTGAAAACATAAATGACTAAGCTAAGAGAGATTTTGTGCTTTACTGAACTGTTTATTAGTTCTCTGGGAAAGTTCTGGCTGTGAAAGGCGAGATGGGATTTGAAGAAGAACACAGGTAACCACTTGCCCCTGAGGAAGAGGAGGATAAGGAGGGCTGTTTCTAGGGCTGCTTACACATTCCTGATCCCTGGAACACTGACTGTCCCAAAAGCCTGGTTGACTTCATCTAGGAAGGCAGTGTTTCTCTTTGACCTTGGAGTAGAATCCAGAACCAATTCTGGCTACATTTTGTCTGACTCCCATGCTCTTCCCCGCTACGGCTGCTGCCCTTAGCATGGACCCAGCTGCCCGCCACCCTGTCCCACCACCCTGATTTCACTTCTGCCCACAGCGGCAGGGCCGGGAGCTGACAGAGGTTCAAGACCAAATGCCAGGTCCTTTACTTTGATCACAATAACCCCATGCAGTGCTACAGGCTGGGGGCACAGTGACTGGAAAGCTGCCCAGCAGAAAAGGACCTTGGGATGCTGATCAACAGAGACTGAACACGAGGCAGCAGTGTGGCCAGGTGGGCAAGAAGGCCAATGGCACCCTGGCTTGTATCAGAAAGAGTGTGACCAGCAAAACCAGGGCAGTGATACTTCCCCTGTACTAGGCACTGATGGGGCTGCACCTCGAATGCTGTGTCCAGTTCTGGGGCCTTCAATTCAAGAATTGAGGTTGAGGTGCTGGAGCAGGTCTGGAAAAGGGCAACGAAGCTGGTGAAGGGTCTGGAGTACAATTCTGATGAGGAGCAGCTGAGGGAGCTGGAGTTGTTTAGCTTGGAGAAGAGGAGGCTCGAGGGGGACCTTATCGCTCTCTAAACTCCCTGAAAGGAGGTTGTAGCCAGGTGGGGGTCGGCCTCTTCTCCCAGGCAACAAGAAACAGGATGAGAGCACACAGTCTTAAGCTGTGCCAGGGGAGGTTCAGGTTGGACATTAGGAAGAATGTCTTCACAGTAACAGTGAGTAGGCGTTGGGGTGGGCTGCCTAGGGAGGCGGTGGAGTCACCGACCCTGGAGCTGTTTAAGGAAAGACTGGACGTGGCACTCGGAGACATGGTCTCGTTGACAAGGTGGTGTTCGGTCATCGGTGGGACTCGATGATCTCAGAGGTCTTTTCCAACCTAACTGACTCCGTGATTCTGTGATTCAGAGCGGGGCAGTCCCGCGACGATGGGGCTGCCCGAGGACCAGCGCGGCCCGGCCCGGCCCCGCTCCCGGGCCTCCCGCTGTCCCCGCGGCCGGCAGGGGGTGCGCGCGGCGGGCGGGCGCGGCGCTCTGTCCCCACCGGCGCCGCCGGTCCGTCCGCTCCGCGCGGCCCCGCCCCCCGCGCTCACACCACCCGCCCGCCCGGCGCTGCGTCAGCCCGGCAAGATGGAGACCGCCGAGGAAGGTATCGCGATCGCCCGGTGCCGCGACCCCCCGGGCGGGGGCTCTGCCGGGGCAGCCTCCCTCCAAGGGCGGAGGGCCGGGGCAGGGAGGGTGTCGCTGGGCCCGCTGGGCGGGCGGGGGGCTGTCAGCGCCCGAGGGAGTTTTTGCGTCCCGGGGCTGCAGGTGCCCGGGCCCCACTCCCCGCCGGGCCGGGCCCGCGGGGTTCGGGCCGGGCCGGGCCGGGGCAGGGGAGCCAGTGCGTGAGGCGGCGCGCGCGGCGCCCCTTACATAACACCGGGGATCGCGGGGGGAGGGAAGGGGAGGCGGTGCTGTGGGAACACCGGGAGCGGGGCTGGGATGGGCCGCACCGGGGCACCTGGACACCGGGGCCCGCCGGAGGCTGCGGTTTTGCTCGGGGAAAGTGGGGGCTCGGGGGCGTAAAGCGGCGGCAGGCGGGGTGCGCACGCTGGGGCGGGGAGAGCACTGCCCCGAGCCCCCTCCGGGCCGCCGAGCCTGTCCCACCCTGCCTGTAACCCAGCGGAGCTTAAATGTACGCTCTCGGCCGCATAGCGATAGCAGCTGCTGCTCCTTGTGCAAGGTTAACTTTGTTGTGTGTGCTGGAAAATCTGTTCGAAAAAATTGAAATATGCAGGAGCTGGCATGTTTCTCTGTCTCTTTTACGGTAGACTGATACTTAGTAAGTTCTTTTTAAAAAAGAAGCTGTCAAAGAGATCATCGTCATGTTTTTGGGGGGATTGGTTTTTTTTTTTTTAATGTGTAGTTTCTATTTTTAAGGGGTTTTCCATTTTTAAGGGCTTTACTTGAGATCAAATGTGGATATGTTTTGTCAGCACTTTTGCTCTGCTCGGATAATCACAGAAATCGTTAGGGTTGGAAGGGACCTCTGGAAATAATCTACTCCAACTCCCCTGCCAAGGCTGGGTCACCTAGAGCAGGTTACACAGGAACGCCTCCAGGTGCGTTTTGAATGTCTCCAGAGAGTGAGAGGGAGTACAATGAGGGACTACTTAGTTCAGGATGATACTGGAGAACTTCCATAAAGCAGGACCTCATATTGTAGCACAAACAAAAATAAATAAAGGATGTGTGTTGTGCTGTGTTTATTGCAGTATTAGAGCTTTGTTTGTCATCTTAAGCAATAGGGACAAACACATATTGCAGTATCAAGGCAGTTCCAAGGAAAGCGTTTTGTGTCTTGGCTTTTGTTGCTTTGGCATCATTTTGAATGTAGCTTTTTGCCTGGTGTCACTTGATTTTCCAGCTTGAGAGGATTAAAAAGAAAAAAAAAAAGGTAGAAAAACATGAAACACTGGACGGAATAAGACAGCACCTTTTTAGTAATGTCCCTTGGAATGTGCTGTAGACATCTTTAATACTCATGAACACTGATGGTTTATCAAAATATTAGTGGCTTTAAAATCTAACATTTAAAACTGCTTGCTGCAACTCTGTAGAGCAATAGTCACACTGATGAAATTAACAAAGTGAACTGATCACTTGGCCAGAAAACTTGGATTTCCACAGTCTTGGAAGTGGATACTGAGAAACGACCAGCCGATTTTGCACCACTCCAGCAGTTGGTAAATCTGTCTCAGTGGACTTAATTCAAACAGCATAGTTGATAATTTGTTAGAGGCTGTTACCAGTGGTAGACTTTGATCATACCTGACTTAAGTAGGTGAACAGCAAGACCAGGAAGAGAAAGAAAAGCGGGTTGTTAGTTACATCTTAAGGCATTGTCTTCTTTAACTAAACCTTTGTGTTAAATTCTACACTTAGAATTTGGACTTTTCTGAGGTTTTTTTATGTATAAACACACATACATATGCAGGCTTAGATATTATATTGTGGTCTTGCCAATGTTACCTTCAAAAGCTCTGTGTAGTAGTGTGAAAGTAACTTGTCTATATACTCACTTTCTATAAATACCACTAGAATGTTACTTCTTCTACAGTTTCAAACCTCAGTTCCCACTATTAGACCTTCATGCCACTTGTCAGAACACCAAAGAGGCTTCCCAAGGTTAGAAAGCTTTAAACACCACCAGCAGCAGCAAAGACTGCGTTAGTGCCTTAAGGAAGAGAAAATCCATGCTCTAATAACGTGTGCCTCAGCTTCTGCTACGCAGTGTCAGATGGACTTTCCTAGCTATTGATAGTCTGATAACAATATTGTGGTCATTGTGGTACTGATGGGTTTCGTGCTTGGCTGAATTGTCTTGTAGAGTTAGCAAACTGAACTGGATGGTGAGAGCTCAGATAAGAGAGGCAGTTTAGGGTCATAATGTCAGACCTAAGTGGGAGCTACTTCACCTCAGGATGAATCTAAGAGTTGCTTCTCTGTAGCACTCAAAAGCACCAGATACCATGTTTTGCTGATGAGAGGTAATTCTGGTTCTTTCTAGTTAAATCAGTTTGTTGCTGAATAAAATAATCTTCACTTTTCAGTATTCCAGTGTTGAAATCCAGAGAGGTGATAGGCATAGACTCATTCTCAGGGGGAACGGGAAGGAACTGTATTATTCAAGGTCATTTTTTCCAAGACACGTGCATGAAGAACAGGATGCGCAGTGTGTGTACACATAGAAAAATAGTGACTATTGCACGGTGGAATTCCCTCTGAACACAGCAGAGGTCATAAGGTGCATAGCTTTACATGTTGACCCTCAGTGGGGTTTATTGATTTGAAGCTATTGGCTGCTTAGCAGCCCAGACCAATACACTCATAATATGTTAATTTGGAGTTATAAAACAAGTAGAAATATCTCGAAATTCTCATAGCCTTTGAAAAAATAAAATTTAGGTTTAACTTATTTTAGTAAACTGACAAAGGCAATCCTTTCTCAAATACAGAATTCATTTGCTTTCAGTAATGCAAATTATGTTTTTTCCCAACAGTTTTCAGAATAAGTGAACAGTTGGCTGTGAGAGTCAACAGGCCATTAATGAGCAGATTCAGAGAGCAATGGGCATCTTTCAGGGAACAGCATTCTTTTAACTTGTTTTCATGCCAGAGAGTATCCTTAAAGCATTGGTTTCACATTCTGTCTCCTGTGCTGGTCGTAGCGCTCGTCCGATGCTTTGTGAGGCCAATCTAGTGTACAAAGTTGTCAACTTGCTGTAATGGAACAGCTCTGTTGGAAAGAATGCAGGAGGAGGTGGGCATGCCACAGCGAGTGGGTAGAGCTCGCCTGTTAGCTGAAGAGACCTGTCCTGTGCAGCCATCTGGAAATGCTCTCTGTGGTAAAAGAATCATTTGTTAGGTGAAGTAGTAGTTCTGGTCATTCTTATCAGCAGAGAAACAAGGGACTCTTGATGTTTGCAGTGATAAGTCGTTGCTCAATACGGCTGTGACAGAAGTGCTCTTTATGTCTCTTTGTGGCATCACTGATGTGATATTGAATACCTCTTTCTGTTAGTTGTAGGGTTTTGTGCTGCATGAGTGAATTCAATCAAATATCACTTTTATAGATAGGAAATTGTGTGGGGTTTTTTCCTTTTGAATCACTTGAATTCTTATGCTTTATGTGTAGAAACTGTTCTAATACTGCGTAAACTATGTTTATGGTCATATTGTGACCTCTTTATTAGAAAAAATAATTTAATTTTTGGTATCTTTTGGAACTTTATGTAGAAAAGCATTAACTTTTGAAGATTTCGACCAAGAACAAAGATAGGTGACTCAGACTTGAAATTGCACATTTGCAGTATTCCTACATCAGTACTTTCAATTGGTATTTTTCTGACAATGATCTCTGGTATGTATGTGTTATACTCTTGCAGGTTTGTGGGGTGGTGGTTGATACAGAAAAAATTAACAAAAGAGAAAATCCTAAGCTCACATATTCTATAAAAATGGGCATTTTATGTTCATTTCCTGAATAGAAATAAAGGGAGGAGTAAAGGGAAGATACCATGAATCTATCGATAAGCAGATTAAATACTTGATTTTTATTTCTATTTAATCACGTGGCTGACTGAATGGTATTAAAATAAATATCTGTTCTTTAGAGGGAGGGATTTATGCTCACTTCTTTGTCCACAAAACATCTCGCAACCTTTAGCTGTAAGAAAACATCAAAAATAGGGAATGAAGAAGGTGCAGGACCTATTGAAATGTTACAGTAATTATGAAATAGAAAATGTCTTTTCTCTGTGACTAGACAGTAGACTGCTAAATGGTTGGCTTTATTCAACTTGGGTAGCAAACTCACAAAATACCTATGTCTATTATGATGGGTTTTTTTCCTTTTAATCAAGAGCACCAAAGAAACATCCACGTTAGGTTCAATAGTAGCAAATGACTTGTATAAGTAATTGTTGGACATTATTAAATCTCTTCTGCTAAGCGTATGTTTAACTTGTTCAAAATTCAAATTGAATTTTTCCGTTTCTAAGTCTCCACTTTCAGGAAGATTATCCTTAACAGTTTTTATGTTGTTTTAACAATAACTTTTTAGGCAAAAAAACACCTCCTCCTGTAGTTTAACTGTGTCTGTTCTCTGGAAATCTTGAAGATATTGTAAGACGTGTCTTGAGTTTTTATAACGTGATCAAGCGAGTAACATTCTTGTTTTTTCTGTTCATCTCTTGGTCTTTGTCTTGCGTCTGATGAAATCTGTCTTTTATCCTCTTCCAGTTTATTCTGGCTTCATTTTGCTACATGGCAAAGTTTCTAGAATGTAATTGTGTAATTTGTCTTGTACATTTGAGTTCTTTAAGCAGTAGTGTAATAAGCTTTTTGTCCTTGTCAGCAGATATATGCAGAGTCTGTCGGTCTGAAGGAACTCCTGAGAAACCCCTCTATCATCCATGTGTGTGTACTGGCAGTATTAAATTTATTCATCAGGAATGGTGAGTTCTGTGCCTGTAGCTTTCTTAACTTTTTTTTTCAAATTAAAATACAATAACATGTTTCTAAAAACACTACTTGCAGAGTCTTCAGGTTAACTAGTAAGAAAAATCCAGTTTTCAATGGAAATGTGTTAGGGGTTTTGATGTTTTTTACATAATGATTCATAACAATTCACAAAAAATTATTAATTATATACAGAAAGAAAGTAGTGATAATTGCTTGTGTTTGGGACTACAGTTCTGATCATATGTCAGCTTTATGAAAACTAAGCAGAAAAATTAGTATGTTGGGGCATTTTCTGCCCACTTATAGCTGTGAATAAAAACAACATCTAAAATCATAGCAAGAAATAAAAATACCCTAGTACTTTTTAGTGGTTTGAGGTGTGTGTTTTATCAGGAAGTGCTGAAATGAAAACTGTAGTTCTAGTCTATAGCACACATTTCCTTTTGATGGTGTTTTAGTAGCCATTCTTTCACAAATACAACAGTTCTAAATCTTAGCTGTGTGCATCTATATGTCATATCTTGAAGTATTAATAAGAACTGGTGTCACTAGTGGGTGTCCATGCCAGAATATCTGCTTTGATCAATAATGTACTTAAAGAATTTACTTTATCATTGATGTAAATTATGTATGTCAGCTTACCTTTTTTACTTTTTCAAACTTCCTTGATGGCCTAAATGGATTTAATGAACATGCTAATTTAAGTCCTGCTTGACAGTACCAATATCCTGACTTATGTTTGAAAACAGAGAATTGGTGTTTTCCTTAGTGGAGGGATAGGGCAGAGAGATATAACATGTGTTAATATGATCACTTTTTATTGCAGCTTAGTTCAGTGGCTTAAACACAGCAGAAAAGAATACTGTGAATTATGTAAGCACAGATTTGCTTTCACACCAAGTAAGTATGTTTTACTGCTCCTATTTTTCAGAATTTCTTTTTCTTTTAGTATGTATGGAGTGATTACTTTTTCATTCAGCATGATAGATCCAAACTTGTGTTTTAACTTCTGTATTCTTGTTTGAATTGCAGTTCTTATGCATATTATTGCATACTGTGTGAAATGTTTAAATAATGGATAATTTGGTTCTTTCATAATCTTGCGTGAGACATAAAAGAAGTATTATTCTGTACCTTTTCTGACAGCCTCAGTCCCATTCTTTTGTTGCCAGCATTACAGAGTATGGCATGTTTTCAGCTTCATTGATAAATTTGAGTGTTTGCAAGCCTGAATGGTAAAGTGAGACCACAGCAAAATTTGAATTTGAACCCCGGTTTTCAGCTACCTTTCAATGATGTACCTGAAACACTCCCTCTTGACTCCTGTCAGTTTCAGGTCAAATGACACTGACAGATAATGTCAGTCAAGATACAGTAACTACCCGGTATTACACTGCCTTTTATGTTAGATACAACTAAATAGGTTAGGCAACTTATGATGAAGAATTACTGTATCTTTACATAGTTCCCAGAGGCTTCTTAATTACATTTTAACTGATTGTAGTAGAAATAGGTGAGGTCCTTTGGCTTGGTGGCAGGCTAGGCTTTTTATTTAGTATTACCAACTTACTGCCTGTTGAACAGGTAGTGGGTTTTATGCTACATTTTTCTCTTTACATTTACCTGTGCTGATTTATTCCTTACAACTGCTGAACTCAGTTCTTCATGTTGAAGATAAGTAATTTATTTTTTTTAAACTAATGAGTATCCTCACTGTAGAAGTTGTCTTGAGTTGGGAAAGATGATGGTTTGACTGTTTCAGGTGTGTACTACAATAAAAATCAAAGCTCCTTTTCAGGGTAGCTGGTCACTCATCCCATCTCCTGCTTCCTTCTCACGTTTTTTTGTGATTTTTGTTTTTTGGTTTTTTCCCTACTAGTTTTGTACTTTGGTAGAGAAAACTGAGGCTAAGGTGGTTTAGTTCATGTATCTTCTTTTCCAAAAATCCCACGGTCTGCCATCCTTCTATATGTTGAAACTCAGTATTTTGCATTTCTGCTAACAATTAATTAAGCACATTAGACCAGCAGTGAAATGTGCAATGTTAAGTCTGTCTTATGAGGATAATAGCATATTTTATGTTGAAATGCTTCAGGTTATTATTTTTAAATACTACAGAGACCTGTATAAGGAATGTAAGACAGAGATCATCTGGTTGCAGGTTTTATTTGTTAAACATTTTTATAAAGGTTTTACATTGGTTCTTTCTGGAAGCTTTGCAAATTAAGAGTGATCCCCAGTTATTAGCCACTTTCAAAATTGCATTCTGCTACCAAGTTCTCTACAGAATTTAGTGTGCAAGACCAGAAAATGGCATTTCGGTGATTTATTAGTTGTTAAGAAGAAAGAAGACTTTCTAGCTTTGTATAGAAAAACCAAACCAAAACCAAAACAAACCACAAAGGTGTATAGTGTTTTCCTTGGGATATAGGAAAAAAGTAGATGAGTCGTTCTAATGAAATACACTTTATACGCGTGTTGCTATTGATAAGAGAAAGCTTAGTCACTGCCCTTATCAACAGAGGTGTTCCTGCAGAAGCTAATCCTTGACTGACACGGCTGTTAGCAGCGCAGCCTGTAATGTAATTGTAGGTTACAGATGTGAGAAAACATAGTTGAGTTACTGTGGCTTAGCAAGTTACCATTTGTCATAGGAGCTTTGACATTGATAGTAAGTGAACCTCTTTCTTCCTCATGCAATAGAGTGCTTCCTCCACATTCAGCCTCTAGGAAAGGGCTCCTTATCCTCCTGTCACACACTTACCACTCCCCTGACTGAGCAGCCTGAGCTGATAATGTGTTCTTCTTGGCTTTCCACATTGCAGAGTGCTTTTTTCATACCAGGCTGCACACGGTGATAGCAACATGTCAGGTCCCCTGCACAGATTCCTCCTGCTTTCTCTACCCAGAGTGTCTTGTTTCATTGTTTCCTTGCAGCCAATGCTTGTGCAGTTACAGTTTCCTTAGTTTGTCTTACCCCTTTCTTTGAGACATAATACGGCTTTCCAGTCTGGAAGCTGGATCTGCCTGTGGGAGCTGGGAAAAAGTCACAGGTGCTGGAGAGAATGATAAGGCAGAAAGGGGATTGATGTATATGCCAGTCATGGCAAGCAAAGTTGGATCTGGCCTATAACCATGCCAGGTGTAACACACTTTCAGATAAGTTAATTCACCATGGGATGTGGTCAGACAAACACATGTATGTAGTTAATATCTGTGCTTCAACATACAGGCACTAAGTTGAGAATAATAGTGCAGGAATACCAGCAACTCCTCTGTTATTGAGCTTGGTTTGCTTGTTAAGGCTGTTGTTGTCATTCTGTCAAAAATGATCCCATGCTAAGTGTAACTTTTGTGTATGAAGTATTCATAAACTATTTTGAGTGCATTTATTCTTTAAGTTGTGATTTCTTTAGTACCTGAACTGCTAGTTCAGTTATTGTTTGGAAGGAAGGAAAAACGAGAAGGTTTAACTTGCATCTTGGCAGGACTACAAAGGAATGGATTTTTCTTTTGAATAATAGCATCATTCTCTAAATGTGTTTGCTCATGTAGGCAAATGACTCGATTTTCGAATGAATGCTTTAAAGCTAAGTTTTTTATGTTTTAAATTTAATTCCTTTTCTGCAGTTCTTCAACTTACGAATTAATACAACTATTAAAAATAAAAAATAGCTTTGGACATTTTTTAATTATGTCAAGGTGGTTGTTCATTTTTAAATCTTAAGTTTTCTTTCTGAGTTTTTAAAGGGCAACTGCTATGTATTCTTTCCCTCCCCACATGTGCTCTCCTTTGTCATGTGCAAGGATGCACTTTTATTGATGTTACACTAAACATTCATAAGCACTGACCCATGAAAGAAGGTACGGCTGTATTTCTCAAGAAAATACAGTTTTCAAAACTTCTCCTTTCTGTAGAAGGTAACCTTAACATAAATATTGTCAAAAATACAAATATGGAAGCAGACTAACCTGATCTTTCGCTAGAGATTGGGATGGGTTCATTTCTCTGCTTCCTGTGCAGCTACATTGCTGGTAAGTGATTGATACAATGTCACAAGCTTAGTTAATACAAAGATCGTAAAAATTAAGGAAGTCCTATGGGCAGGGTGTTCTTCCATTTATGAATTATTATAACCTGACATAAGCTTTTGATTTGTGCATGGAAAGTTACTAATTGAAGGCTTGAATGCACTAGGACCTCACTATTTTTATTGTTCCAGTCCTGGTTTGTTACTGTTCTTCCTTTCTTGTTGTTTGCTGCCTTTGTTCACCTGTAGCTGTTAATATGAAAATTTGTTGGATCAGGAGCACAAATGATTCATGGTTTCCTGTGAATCATTTGGATTGATTGAGTTCCTAAGCTAGCCTACAGCACATTCAGATTCTCCATATTCAATACTTAAAGTTGGGGTTTTTTCAATTAACTCATTAATTTTTAATTAATCCAAGCCTTGATATTTTCTGATCATCTTAAAACCTTCCAGATGAGACTAGCATAGCTATCTTAATGGGAAAGAGTTCATGGTTCATAAATTTTAAGGTAAAGAAAAAGGAGTATCACTCTGACATAATTCAATATTCAATTATATATTTGTAAGCAACTTGTGCAAAAAACATCACTTAATAATTGCATGTTTTCATAGGAACACTTTGAAACTTTTTGATCTTCAATTTTTTTCTTAATCTTTAAGAACTTTGTAATTATGCTGAGTGACCCATTTTGTTGGGTTTATCCATTATCATGTAATTAGGATTTTATTGAAGGATATAATGGGCTGATTTTTTACCTGTTCACTTTGGCAAACTAACACAGTAGTCCATAGCTTTAGCTTTTCTGGAAAGTAATTTGGAAAAACAAACTTCTGAAACAAAATACTATATTCTGGCACAGAATTCAGTGTGTCTTCTGCCAGTTCCAGGGTGCAGAGTATACACACAGTGGAGATTTATATGAATCAATTCATGTGTTTGTTAGACCTGTGGCTTGCATGAGAAGGGGTGGAGTTTTTATCCTTTTACCTTAGCAATCCAGAGCAAAGTCTGCATGTGTCTCAAGGGTGTAAAACACAGAAACATAGAATAGTTTGGGTTGGAAGGGTCTCTTGAAGATCATCTAGTCCAACTTAAAGAATAACTCACAAGCCCTGTTTTATCAAACCCATGCTTTAACCTGTAGCTATTAAATAAATGATTCTTACTTATGAGTTATATGGTGTTACTTCATGGTCAGTGCACAAGAATGACTGCGGTGTCATATAAATTGCTTGCAAGTGTAATAGTAAATAGAAAATCTATGGGTAAGAGGACTGTAAGTGTGGAGATTCTGTGAAGTAGGCTAAATGGCAGTTTTTCCTACGTCGTTTGTGTCAGTGCAATAGCAGATTTTTGTCATGCTATCTGCTTTGGAGAAGTAAAATCAATATTTGTATTCCTGGAAAAGGTAGGCTTACAGGAGGGGAAGGAAGGGTGGAACAAAACACCACCTCCTGAAAGTAGCCAGATACCCAAATTTAGTATTCACAACTTCAGTAACAGCTGCATAGGTGCTACCTGAGTATCCAAAAAGCTTTCTAGTAGTTTTTCTGTGGCCTGTACAGTTCAAAGAAGTCAAACTAGACCTATGAAAAGCTCAGCCAAAGTCTGTTTGAATTTCATGCTGTAATAAAAAAACCTCTATTGTTTTAATTGGTCTCTAGTAGAAAGATTTTTATTTGGAGAAACTCTGGTAAATAATGCAGAAAATTGGTTTCCCAAACTGAGTTAGGAAAGATTAGTGGGATAGGAATTAAGGGATGGAGGAAGGATGAGGAGGACAAGTTGAAAGGGAGTGAAGGGTATGTATGCTGTGGGTCAAAGTCTCAGGCCTCAAAGTGGTAGTGTGGAGTGGATAAAAGGAATGTGGAGAGAAAATGGCAGTAGATGACAGACACAAGTGGGGGGATTAGCAATGGAAATCACTGACAGCAGGCTTCAGTGCTGCAGTGTGCTTGCACACCAGAGTTCCTGTCATGCTAGGAATTCTTGCATTTCACCCACCAGAATGTTGTAGGACGTAGAAGGGCTTTATCTTATAGAAGGGATTTATCTTATCATCATGGTCTAAAGCTTCTAGTGGTAGAAGCTTTATATATTTTGAGGTATGATGCACAGGAAAAGCAACATTCTTCCCCATCCCTACTCCCATCTCCTGAAATCATAAAAAATCATCAAATTGTTAAAATGTGGGTGATATAACTTGTTTTCTGAGTAGTAGCTACATTGTGCTTTTATTTGAATGCTCAGTTGTAATCCTAGAGCCATTAGAAAAGTGAGTATGTAGAACTGCTAACATTTATAGCCACTTTAACTTTACTGAGTTAGGATGACCTTCCTTTTTTACAGTTCCCTGTGTGAGTGATCAGTAATTCCCGAAAGAGGCATTTTCTTTTTTTAATTTCAAGCCCAAGTTAATGTTTTCCGTGTAGTGCTTGTTGCAGTTCCAAAGGGTTGATCAAAATACGTTTTTTGAAAATCAAAAAGATTTCAAAGTATCTGGTGAGTTGTCTTGATTGGTACCATAAATATGTAACAGATACACTGTAAGTAAATATTCTTTTGCACCCTTAACAAAGGTTTCTTGTCTCCTATGGCAGATATTTTCCAGAATGTTTGTTCAGTGTGAACTTGAGAGATCATTACTAAGACTTCAGTTGGCATTTTCTATGGTACCAAATTGTGCACTAAATCTGTTTTAGGAACAAGAAAATTGTAAATTAGTGGGCAGTGTCAAAATATGTTTGTGTCCTGCTTTCAATTTCCTGCTAAGTTGTCACAGGTACGCTTCCCTGGTGTTATATTATTAGTCCTTTCTTTCATGAATCCCAGTTCCCTACCAGCTACCTGGTGAATAAGGAGCTTTGAAATTTAAAACCAGTTATTATTTGTCTAAGGGTTACTCTTTTATTGTTGCTTTGTGTCAAATACAATCCACATCTTGTTGAAATGCACCAGTCTCTCCCCATTCTTTGAGTACTTCTGCCAGTTGATACTGCTTTTCCCTGTTCCTGAGTTCTCTTTACAATACAGAAACTTAGGGGTAGCCCTGGAGAGAAAAGAATTTCTTTCTCCTGTAGAGGCTTCTTCGCTGAGACTAGTAAAAGGATGATTAGGAATGTAGGAAAAGGGGATGCAGGTAGACAGCAGAAAGCAGTATTTCTTCGACTCTTAAAGGATTGCCCATGAGAGGGAAGGAAAACTTTTTTTCTGTTTGTTCTTATAAAAATTGAGTTTCCATATGTAGTTAGAAGTTTATGAGATTTTAAAAAATAGTCCATTACATTAAAGTCTTCAAGTGCAGGTGTTTCCAGCATAACAGACATCCAGGCAGCAACGTCTTTGTGCAACTCCCAACTGTAGTTTATCTTTTTTTTTTATTGAGATCTGTTACTGATAGTGTGCATTACCAATTCTTGGTATACATATGTGTGTAGAAACTAAGAAAATGTAATTAAATTGTTAAGTGTCTTCTAATTGTTTGCAAAAGAAGAAACTTCATCACTGTTTTTCTTGGCTTTTGAGTAGGGATGGGCTTATGCAATATATGTGTTGAATTTAAAAAGTCAAGACAATTTACTATTATGAAAATATCTATACAGGGTGAGAGATTTGCATTTTGCTCTGTAATAGTAATGTTCTGAGAAGAAATCTTGCATGGTATGAAATAAATACCTGTTGAAAGTAAAAGTCATTATGTGTAATTTTCAATCTATGTAGATACTTAATCAGCTCCCTTCAATTTTCCTCTCTGTGTTCTGCTTTTATTTTGCAGGGGTTTTTTTGTGTGTGTGCTGTTGGATAGCAAATGGAAACTAAATTATCTAGCACAAACAAATGGACAGCTTGCAAAATTGCAAATTGCTCTTGTTCCTTGTGCTCTTTCCATGAACTAGGTTTATAAATAATAGACAGAGGTATCTTTGAAGTAGTGTTGGGTGGGAGGGCTACTGCATTTAGAATCTGCTTTTTCATAAGCTTATTTTGAGGTAGTCGGAGTTTACAGCTGATAAATAGAGCTATTAAGAAAACTTTTCTTAAGTCAAAAACTAGCATGGAATTTATTAATTTTCCCATTCCAGTAAATTGTAACATTGTGAAATTTTTTTGTTCTTCGTTTGGAGTCATCTCTTGAGATTCTGTAAAATATGCTTATTGCTCTGGTAAGCTTTTGTCAGATAGAAATATTTTGTAGTTGGCAACACCTTTACATAAATGCTTCCTTAAAGGACAAATGGTTTCATAAGTGCCTTTTCTACACAGTTTATTCCCCAGATATGCCTTCACGGCTTCCAATCCAAGACATCTTTGCTGGACTGGTTACAAGTATTGGCACAGCAATACGATACTGGTTTCATTATACACTTGTGGCCTTTGCATGGTTGGGAGTAGTACCTCTTACTGCATGTAAGTATTAATTTTTTGTACGTAATACTCTTGTACACAGGGAAATAGACCACTTTCTGCAACAAAGTTTTGTGAGACCATTATTGGTTTATTAAAAAAAAAAATTAAAGACATTATTTCACTTATTTTCACTCAGTTCTACCTATTGGACTCTTAAGCCAATAATGCAATGCAGGAAGGTGTTAAGACACAGGAAAAAATGCATGAAAGGGCTTTTAAATTTCTTATTCCAATAAAATGCTTCTTTTCAAGTATCTTTAAAATCTACATGGAAGTTTTTATTTGATGCCAATTATTAATATTAGGATAGAAGAATTGTCCTGTTCTTTCTAATCATCTATAAGGGAAAGTGCAGTATTTATCTTTTTCTATGAAAAGTAAAATTCCTTAGCCATATTACTTAGTAAAACTCTTAAAAAATGTAAACAAAGTCATTAAGTAGTAAAGGAATTTAACAGAAAGGAGAGTGCACATTTAAATTACTGTAGTATCCATTTTGAAATTCACTTTCCAAGTATGGATGGAAAGAGAACTATTGATGTTTCAACAAACTAAAAATATAGAGAAGATGGAGAACGGTAAAAGGGATGTAGTGTTCAGTCAAGGAAATGGTTGAAAGTGCACCTTTACAAACCATAATATACCCATTGAACAAAAGAGCAGGGAGTAGATGCATCTCCCCAGACAGCTTCTCAGTATTTTCTATGCTTTCATTTGTAGCTGGCACAGGCTTAGTTTGAGAATAGTACAATACTGGCATCACCTAATTTTCTGAAGCAGACTATATACACTGATAGCCTCCTTCTTAAATTTATGTGACCAAAGAATCATAGTAAAAAGCTAACATTAACTAGCATCAAGTATTAATCCATAAAACAGTTATTTAAAACAGATAATGAAATGGTGATGATCCATGCTGTATGATATAATACCAGAAGGTTATACAGGTTCAAAATATGTTTGAACAAATTAAGGGGGGGAAAAAAGTCCGTCACGGATTAATTAGCAATGAGATATTATGGCACAGGAACTGAGCTGCTTTGCATGAATCATATGAGAATGTACTGAGGAAGTATCGCTGCAAGTATATTTAACCTATTTCAATATTCTTCCTTAGACTTCCCTTAGTGTGACCATGCTGGAGACAGGTCTAGACAAATCTTGGGTCTAACCTAGTATAGCAATTCTTACACTTTGAATACACACTTTTCAAGAATATGCAGCTAAAATAAATACAGCTTTGTTCCACTGGTTGTATCTGGTCTTGGGTTCTGTTCATTCTCTGAAAGTTGAGATTTTCTGCTTTGCCATAAATTTAGTTGGACATGATGTGAAACAAGGGTACCTGTGGTCCAAATGAGGCTATAACCGAAATCAGATTTATACCAAGCTTCTGTTTATTCACGCAGGTCGTATCTACAAGTGCTTGTTTACTGGCTCTGTGAGCTCACTACTGACACTGCCATTAGATATTCTGTCAACGTAAGTACCTAAACAGTTTGATACAAAGAACTGTTTTAGTAAGATTGCCCTGAAAATGGTTGCTTTGGAACTTGGTGTCCTTTTCTTCCAGTTATGCTTGTTACCTTCTGCCATCTTACCCAAGCAACTGCCTGTTAGTTACCCTTTGCATAACGAAATGCATAGCCAACAGCATTACAGTAGAAATCATTTCACTTTGAAGTTCCATTATTCAGGATTTTTAGAGCTTGAAAACTCACTTTACAAAGTGGGCCCTGGGTAATGGAGATTAGTATTTGATGTAAAGAAAACTTATGCTGCAAAATTACACATAATTAGAAAGATTTATGTCCTACAGTTTCAATCAGATGCCACATAGTAGAATAGTAATAAATGTGTTGCTAATGTCACTTTCTGTTTTCTTTGTTGCATTTTTATACTTTGAATTTAATTTTATCCATTCTGTCTCTTACATGATAGGGATTATTTTTTATCAGATTTTCTTCTAGCTGATACTTGGATTTTTAGTTCTTCAGTCACCATTACATATTGTTACATATTGTCTTTGTCCTTTTAAAATCAATTTTACTTAAATAATCAGTAAACACCAAACAATAGAATTTCAGGCTGGTTCTTATTTTTTCGTTATCTCGAACATGAAGAACTGAAACTCAGTTTGGGTAGAGTCAGTTGCACAGCAAGCAAATTTTGATTGAGTGTTCTATGCGGTTCAGCTAAGTCATCTCAGTTGAGCTGTTTGATTTGAGATCTCAGGTCACGTTACATTTAATTTTTACTAGTGGAGAGAGATGCGTGCTTTGGTCTAATAAGCGTATTTTTCCTGTTATGTCTGTAGTGTAGATTCTGTTTTTATTTTTCTGAGAAGAATCTGAAACAAATGAACTTGAGCACCTCTTCTTTTGTCTGTTACAGGCTAGGGAGAAAATAAAGGACTCAAGCATTTGTCAGATTTTAATGGCCTGTGAAACTGTGCTTTGACATTTATTTCTTTGACAGAGACAATTACAGTAGCCTCTTTTCATTGTGAGTTTCATGTCCCCATGGTATTCACTGTGCTGTGCAGGCACAAGTGTGTGGCTGCAAGGAGAACCAGACTGATGCTTCTTTGGGCATGGTGGAGTACTGGTGTGGCATGTTTCTTACCTATTATTAAAGAGTATACTGTAGTTTTCTGAGTAAATTCTCTGTAGTCAAGTAGTTCAAGGGTGGAAACAAGTGGGAGGAGGTACCTGAAATTAGGGATGAGGATTGCTTAAGATAGTTTAAGTGCCTCTCGTTGCATGAAACCCTAGTTTCAGTTGGCTGGCTGAACTTAGTTTTGCTGCTGCTTTACAGTTATGTATGACCTGATAGATTAGGGTTTTTAAAGTACAGAGATAATATCTAGGGTAAAATACTACCTGAAATGTAGAAAAGTTGAAGGGAAACCCTGCAGTTCCATTTTTCTGGTTAGGGTAGCTCAGCAGATAAAATGCTTCAGTGGACTGGATATAATGCACCTAGCTATTTAAAAAATCCTTTTACTGTATCAAACCATTTACCTAGCGACTATTGTCACTATTTAGTAGCTTTGCTATTCTTAAAGATTGTTTTTCCTGAACTGCTCTTGAAAATTTTCTTCATATTTGGTCAGATCCTGTTTTGGAAGAATATTTATTACAATATTAATTTCACAAACCAAACCAGAGGGAAATAAAACCTTTTCCAAATTAGTGTGTATCCTGGCACTTTAAACCATTTGTACACAGGTACACACAGCCTTCCTAAAATAAACCTTCTTTGAACAGATTTTTTAAAATTAAATTAAAATTATGTCTAGATACTTTTTTCACCTAGACACATAAATAAATTCAGCTTTTTGCACAAATGCCAGTTTATTTGTTAATTTGAACTAGTAGGATCTGTTTGTGATGGTTAACAACGACTGAGTTTAGTTTTACTAGCAAAATATTTTTGTCATTAATGCTTTATTCTTTTCTTTAACAGGGAGAACTTACTGGCTGACTGTTTGCAGGGCTGTTTTGTGGTAACATGCACTCTATGTGCATTTATCAGCCTTGTTTGGTTACGTGAACAGATTGTCCATGGAGGAGCACCACAGTGGTTGGAACAAAATCAACAACAGCCACTCAATGGTGTTGGTCAACAAAATGAGGTAAAACTTAACTGCTCGGTAGTTCATGATAAATTTAGAAAATGTGATTTTGTGATTTAATAAATTACCAGAACCCAGTGATGTTTTACTGGATGGTATCTTTATTTGTTTGTTAGCAGAAGTTGAACATGTGTTTCTGTATAAACATAGTGACACCACTGTTATGTTTTTGAAGTTGTTTGTTTTGTATAACATTGTTTAGGGTCTTATGTCTCTATCTTCACCCTTTTTTTTAAGATAATTTTGTGCATATAAAGCTGAATTCTCAGGCATAGTGAATGAAGAATCAACTTGCTATTATTTTGTCTTTTTCTTAAGTATTTCTGTAGTCTGTGAGTTAACAACTCACTCTTCTCAAACCAGTTGGAAGTTTTGTTGAAACCACTGAAGTTGGAGCTTCCCTGCCCTCCCTCAGCCCCAACACACACATGCACCTCTTTAGTTCTTACAGAAGCCTCTTGGTGGGAGAAGAGATGATATAAGCAATACGTGCATAGGAAGGAAATAATTCTAAATTTTGTTTTCTTTTAATAAATGTCAGGTTTTTTAAAGACAGAGGTAGAAATTCTCATTTTGGTGAGTGGCTCGCTTGGCCTCAAATTATCATCTTCCAAATATAACGATAGTTTTCATAAGAGAGTTCCCCTCTATTGAGCACTGGTGAGACCATATCTGGAGTGTTGTATCCAGTTCTAGGCTCCCCCAGTACAGGAGAACCATGGACATACTGGAGTGAGTGCAGTGAAAACCCAACAAAAATTATGAAAGGACTGCAGCATCTGACATATGATGAGGGGCTGAGAGAGTTGGAATTGTTCAGCCTGGAGATGAGAAGGCTCAGGGACCTTACTAGTCTATTAGTATAAATGCCTGATGGGAGGGTGTAAAGAAGACAGAGTTGTTTTGATAGTATTGAGTGACAGGACATTAGGCAGTAGGCTCAAATTCAAATACAGGAAATTCCATTCAGACAAAAAAAATGTAGGTTTTTAACTGTGATCAACTGCCGGAAAAAGCTGGTCAAAGAGGTTGTAAAGTTTCCACCTCTGAAGTTACTCAAAAGCCAAGAGGAAACAGCACTGCTCAGCCTGCTGTAGCTGACCCTGCTTTCAGTTGTGTTGACTATGTGATCTCTAGAGGTCCTTTCCTACCTCAGCTACTCTGTGAAGAAATTTGAATGTTTCTTTTCCTTTTTTTAAAGGTTTAGTGGTCCCAAATGTAATGCTTGTCTAACACCTATATTATTGACATTTTTTAAACTATTCAATTTCATATACATACAGGATAAAAGTATGGAGAGAGGATGATGAGTTTAACGGAATACTAAATCCTGTTTCTGCAGGCTCAGGCTGTTGTAAATGGAGGTGTTGAAAATGCTGTGCTTGACCAACCTGCTAACCCAGCTGCTGAGAATGTAGTTGTAGGAGAGAACCCTGAAATTCAAGAAGAACAAGTAGATGAAGAGGAGGAGGATAATGAAGATGAAGAAGATGCTGTAGTAGAAGATGCAGCAGATGCAAACAATGGAGCACAAGGTAACAGGTGACTCAAAACAGTAATGTTCTAGTTCTTATTAAATGTAATTAGACCCTTGAATATAGAACTATCATAATTCAAGGAAGCTCTGTAAATTCCCACTCTTGCAAATTTTGAGTGCTGAAGCATTTTCTTGCTGAAAAGCTAGCAGCAGTTATAAGATGAATATTATGCACTCAAGTCTTCTTGTTCATTTAAAACATATCATGGAATGGTTACATGTTGTTTTGAGTGAGTCTAACAGCCGTAAAAATGGCCATTGTCTCCTCAGATGACATGAACTGGAATGCTTTGGAATGGGATCGAGCAGCAGAAGAGCTTACTTGGGAGCGAGTGAGTAAGAATAATTTTCTTGAATTTAATAATTCAGACTCATACTTGAAATTATTTGTAATGCTGTGTTAAAATGCATTTGGGACAGATTTGGATATCATTCCCTCAGTAAGAGCCTTTTAGCTACCTAAAAAAGGTAACTAAAGGTAACAAGGTTACTTGTTAACTATCAAAAAAGGCATTTCTTCGGTTTCAAATGTAGTAGCAGCTTAAAACATGTTTTAGCACAGACTTTTCTGAAGTCTTCAACTTAGGCAGGTTTAGAAATTAATTGCAGCTTGTTTTGAGGATGCTGGGCCAGATTAGGAAGCACAGGTGTTGCATTATGTATTGTTTAATACTTCATTTTTGTATTTGTGGAAACAATAGACTAAAGGAGTGAAATGGAAATTTTGGTTAATTTGCGAAAAACAAATGTGTTTCTTTAAAAATGATGGAGCATTTTAGTGTAACATGGCTTCTGTTTTTTTTATGGATCACAAATTCTGTAATTAGAGCATGAGATGCATATGCACTGTAGTCATAGAGTAGACTCAAGAAGTAGGTTTGTGTGACTGGTCTAGAAGTAGCCAACATCTGAGTTCAAAGCTCACCACATGCAGCAAAATCTGCTTGAAGGTAGATACAGCAGCTTCATGATACTTACCAGTGTCACCAGTGCCTGAGGCAGAAGACATAAAACTACTCACTGTGTTCCTAGGCTGTGGTATAATTGTTGCCTCAACTGCAGAGTAGGATAAATACAGTTTTCATCACAAGTGACAGGTCTTGATCTTTGTTTTGTATCTACTGAAAGCTTCTTAGTGTGTTTTAAGAGATATTTCATGATAAAGGAATTTCATTATATAAATTCAGGTACCTGAATCATTCTATGGTTTATTTCAAGATGAAAGAGTTACATTTCTGAACCCAATTTATGTGCTGGGAAGTGTTGATGTAGTCCTAATTGAAAATATTCTGTTACCTCTCCAGGAACATAGAAATCAGTTTCCACATACTCTCATAACCGTTGCCAGTATAATGTGCAGTATAGGCAATAAATGTGCATTTGGCATTTAGTATAAAAATTGGGGTAGGCTTTTTTCTCTTATTTCATCTTGTGAAAATAGCATGCAGGTTTTCTGAATTTTCAAAAATATTTGCATCTTGGTTTACTTGTAAAATATGTGCAGCGCTTGCATCTTGGAACTTAGTGCAAAATCCTCATACAAAAAAAAGAGCCTTGAACCTGGAACTTTGCAGCAGTAATTGTGGAGTAGGAGTGTCTGGATCGAAATAGTAAGACACCCTTGAAGTGGGGGGGAAAGGAGATTTCTTTTTTTTTTTTTTAATAGATACTTTATTTTTGGCTGTAATGTGGATGCTTCCCAAAGCAGCTGTGCAGACTGATGAAGGATTTGTTTCCTGTCTTCCCAAGCTGTAGAACAACTCTGTTCTAAACTTAAAAAAATATAGTGTAGCAAATGTTCCCATTACAGGTTGCTTTAATACATAAAAAGTAAAATATTAACTTACTTTTCTCAGTGCAACATAAACTGATACTTTGCAACAAGGAAGCAACAAAAAATTTGCTTTTGTGTTTTAATATTGAGTTGATTAAACATGTATTTAAATAGCAGTTCAATCACTAAAATATTTTGTAAATACAAAATTCTTTGTCAGAGTTCTCAAAGTCTTGGAGAGAAGTAGCCTATAAATTATTTGATTCTGTGTTTGCTTTGAAGTATTTAAATACATGAGTGTTAAGATGTTCCACACGTATATCACTGCCTTTGATCAACTGAGTTTACTGTGTTGAATGAGAACTTAGTTTCTATCTTTAAGAATTTATGTCCTGGTTCTGTTGGTTGAGCAATAAAAAAAGCTTTTGACTGTATTGGACATTAAAGGGTGGTATGAAAGAGGCTTATTTTAGATGCGGGTTGCTTAATGTTTCTGATGAGTCAGTAACATAAACTTTCTTATCTTCACAGATGCTTGGACTTGATGGATCTCTGGTTTTTTTAGTAAGTGCAATCCTGCATTTCAAGAATTTCTATGGAAGGCTTTTTTAGTATTTTTTTTCAAGTACATCATTGTATTTGAGGTCCCTATTTTCATATCATATATTTGTTTAAGGAGGGTTTCATATGATGTCGTAATCGAGCAAATGGGGTTTTTAGGAGTTTCACAGAGTAGAGTTGTGAGTGTAATTTTTAAAAGACATAGATAACTTTGGATCACGTACTCCACTGTAAATAAAAGCTAGATCCTTTTAAAAAGCATACTTTGAAAATACTTACCTGTTCTAACCTTACATTTTGCTCTTTATGTTACAGTTAAAATAGTGTTCTCATTTAGATGTCTTTTATTTGCCCTGGTACCACCAGAACACCACGAGTGAATTTATAGTGTAGACTAGATTTTAAAATATAAGATCTTCAGTTATGTTTTTTGACTTTGTTTTTTTCATCGAAGTCCATAACTTTAATGGCTTAGGTTTAAAATTATGTTATCAGTGATTGACCATAAAGTTAATATCAAAAGAAGTAAAACTCCAGTGTACTTATGGCTTAGGTCACATCTTAGCTAAAAGTAATATTAAAACAATAGAGACATGCTGTCATTTCTAGAGTCAGAGCTGCCAGTTTTGTCAATGCATTTGTTGTGATAAAGACTAATTGTTAAAAGTTCAGATGAACCTTTTCTTATTTATGAAACAAATATCCACACACATTTCATGTAATTCTTTTTAAAGGTGGAACTGTAATGATTTTAAAATAAAAGCTTATTTTTACAAAGTAAGAGTTTTGAAGCAAATGTAAGTGTGCATATCTAGGCAAATGTCCATGAATGTAAACAGGTGCTTTCATAATCTGTCCTGCATGTTTTGGTCTTTCTGTTAGAGCAAATTTCTTGGCTCTAACAGGAGATATATAAGTTCCGATAATAATAGGCAGCTGAAACAAGTTTAGCTATAAAAGTTAAGTCGCTTATTTATATGACTGATACTTATGTACTGTTTCCTTGTCATCTTCCTTCCTCTTTCTCCAATACTTCTTGCAGGAACATGTCTTTTGGGTGGTGTCTTTAAATACATTGTTCATACTTGTGTTTGGTAAGTATCATTTGCTCTTAGATTTTAAAAAGATCGTTTGTGAAGTGTAATGCAGGTTAATTTTAAGGCTGTTCTCTCAGAATAAATGAAGATGTGACATCTAAAAATGGAACCACAAATGAACTGGGAATATGAATAATAAATATTTACTGTTTTCTAGCTTTTTAATTTTAAATTTCTTTAAGTGAATAGGTTTAAAATAGGAAATCTACTAAAAACTTAACTATGTCAACCAAAGCACAGAAAATAATATTTGTTTGTAATACTTTTAAATTAAAGGAGAAATCTCATGGAATTTAATTTATGAGCAAATGCAATACTTTGAGGAATGGCTAGGATATTTTTTTTCTCCTTATAGTTTTCACTAGATATAGTTACATCACTTTTTACATCAAGAATCCATTTTTGGAGCTCAGTATTGGGAGGGAGGGAGGTGCACAAGAATGTAGCTGACTGTAGAGTTGTCAAATATACTTCCATTTTGTGTCCGAAATTGCTACAGGACAACTTTCCTTAGTTCATACAACTTAGACTGACTTACATTTTAGAAAATAATAAATTCTAATCAATGGCACATTTTACTCCATTTTCCTTGCTCCTTTCTGTAGATGCTGAAGCTGAACTGTAACTTTAAATCTTTGCAAGACTCTTTCTATTTCTAGTACAAGATAGGAATATTTTTGTGTTCCGATTCCATGTATAGTTAGTGCTAGGAAAATTTCTTAGGCATAAACTTCTCACAGGTTTAAAAAAAAAGTTAAAAATGCCCAAACTGTAGGTATATACTTCTCAGTCATTTGAACCATAAAAGGGTAAAATACCTGTCTTATTGATGTAAGTTCCTCTTGAGAATTTCTGAAATTTCTCTGCTTTTGGATTATGGTGCTCAAGCTCATTAGTGTTGTTAATTTGACACAACTGTGTGTAGAAGCAGCATCATTTTAGTGACAAGATGGAGCATTTTATATACTTGAAGAGATACCAGATAAAAATGCCACAAAATTTTACTTGCTCTGAATGATCAGTTTAGAAAGGAATTTATGTTGCTTTGGGTATTTTCAGTAGTCTTTCTTGGCAGAAGGGTTTGAGGTTGAAGAACTGAAGTCATACTCTAGATAAGAAATTTTTGCTGGCAAAGTAAAGCTCACCACACTGAACTGGTGATTTGAGCATCTAGATACTGAAACAAATTGCCAGATCAAAAAAAAATAAAAATTAGTGTCTTGTATGTTTAATTCACAAGACACTATAACTGTTCTAATAAGAGTTGGAAAATACTTGAGTTATTTCTTTCTGAGAATTATTCTATTTTGATCTGTAGTTATCAGAAGTTAATGGTGGTTTTTTAGCTGCTATAAAATGTAGGCTTTTTTGGTAAGTAGATAATAACCATGAAACTTCTAAATCACAGATTAAGATTCAATAATAAGTGTCATATAGATGTGTTTTCAGTAGCTCTAAGTGTGCTTTGCCAAGTGGGAAACTAACAAATAGAGAAGAGAAGGGAATGACTTTCCCAAGCAAGCTGGAGGTCTGGGAATTTAATATGTGCCTCTCAAGCCTATTTTTAGTATCTTTCCCATTAAGTAATACTGCTTAATTTACAACTGCCAAATCTCTGGTTATTTGTAATTACAGTACTGGTGAGTTCAAATGTCACAGGGGGTACTTTCTAGAAGATAGAAGGAAAGCATTTGGAACCTTAATTACTGGTCCAGAAATTCTCCTTGGACAAATTAATTCATTTCAACTTAATTAATATTTTCTGTAGCTCATCTTAGTACTCACAGAGGAGTTTGTACTGCTTTATGCTTTCTTCTGTAAAGGGATCTATGAGAAATTCACTTTTAAATCAAGTTATTTAAAAAACATAAACTGTGCACTGTATTCTCATGAAACACTGTCAAAAATACAACTTTTATTGTCTGGTATAGGAGCTGTGAGTGTGATCTTTTTCATCTCACTTTCCTTTCACTTATTCTTACTGACTGGGGAGAGCTCAACTCTTCCCTTTATCATTTTACCTTATTTATCTTTTTTATCTTATTTTATCTTATTATTTTGCTCTTCTCAGTAGCTGCTTATTTCTCCAAAATGTTCTGATTATTGATTAGGGTAATATGTGTCCTGCTAAGTCTTCTCCTAGTAGATTTTTTTTGTTGTTGTTGTTCCTGTTTGCTTTTTTTTTGTTTTTTTTTTTTAACATATTGGTCATATGGAAATGAGGATGAGAGAGAAAATCATCAGACTTTTCATTTAAGGGAACATTTAGTCTACAGTAGTTCTCAGAGTGAAAATAAAAGGTGAAAGTACAAGCTTGCCATTTCCTTGATGTTGCTTCCCTCTACTCCTGAAAAAAAAATAGACGTTGAATTCTGTAGTCATTCATAGCTTGGTTAGAAGACCACAAAATGAGCTAAAACAACTACTTGATTTGTACATTAATTCAAGGTAAAAGTTGCTCCTCATGCCTTCACTGGAGTGTCATCTTTCTCCGTTTCCTCTTCCCTTTCCAGGGCTTGCATTTTTCACAGTATTCTTAAGAATTAAAGCATTAGAACTGAAGCCTTGCTAAAGCAAGTCCCATCTGACCATGGAGTGTAAAATGGCTGCTTAAGTCTTTTAGTGCGTGGAATAGAATGAATATGCAGAACTGGTTCCTACAGCAGTCTGAGACAGATACCACCCTAGTGCATGAGACAGAGAAATTGAATTAATTTATGCACTGCAAGATGAACTAAGAAGGGAAAGACTGTCCTCTAATTCTCTGTAGTTTTATATTGGTTTTAGTCTTTCCATGTGAATTCGGATATGATTTTTCAGTGTTTGTAAAATTATAAAAATCTAACACTTGCAAATATTTGCATAGAAAGTAATTTTTTTTAGGTGTTTTCATAAAGTTGACAAGAAGTAGAATTATTACCATGTTACAATACACATCGTGCAAATAAGGCTCCATTTAGCAGTTTTCATGGCCTTTATTTCTTGTTTCTGCTTACATTATGCAGCATTTTGTCCGTACCACATTGGTCACTTCTCCATTGTTGGCCTGGGCTTTGAGGAATATGTGAGTACTGTCCTTTAATTTCAAAATGAAAAAAACCTGCCACTGTTTATTTAAGCACAATATTCTTGTACCATTTTTCAGCTGTTATTTGCAAAAGTAATGTGGATTATGTCTCATTTTCAGTCCTTAAATTATCAGTCCTTTTTGAATCTATGATTAAAAATGTTACTCATTCTTTCCCACTTCTTCCATTATTTACATTTAAAGTGAGGTTTCCTATTTTACAAAAAATGCACAGGTATTGGGTTTTTTTAACAACCTCTTCTTCCTTGTGTACATTTTTAATTTGTATACTGAGTAATTTTCATAATGGATGATAACAGGTAGGGAAAGCGAGGGGGTAGTGAGGTAGTGTAAGGTGACAGTTCTTGTTGCATATGTGTATGAAACAAATATGTAAAAACTAGAGAAACTTGTCATTCTTAATGAATATTTTAAAAGTGAAATTTATCTTGGTTACATAAAAGAGAGATGTAATCTTTTAAGAGACTGGTAAACTTTCCCCTTTTTCCCTCTTCCCTCCAGGTTCAAGCATCTCACTTCGAAGGCCTGATTACAACTATAGTCGGATATGTTCTGCTAGCAGTGACTCTAATTGTTTGTCATGTATCCTTTTGTCAGTAGTTACCTGGTTCAGATTTACGTGTAAATGATTTTTCTGGCTGTGTTTTGAGGAGGCACAGGCATGATGCAGGTGCAATTAATTTAACATTTTGCTCTGCTCTTTTGGTGAAATTAGAAGAAAAAAGTGTAATACGCATCCAGCTTTTCTTAGAAAAGATGAGAATTTGTTTCAGCCTGCATGGAAAAGAAAGCTACTATTTAAAGTAGGTCTTCGGTTTTGAAACTTGCTTATTCATGGCAGATGTTTTCAAAGGAAACTGTTTATTTCTTGAGAACTTTTGGATGCTTAATTTAAGAAGTGTGGTGTTATTATTATATATTTATTTATTTTAGGTACAGGTTTGGGGGTGTTACCCAGCACACCAGATAGTGACTTCCGGAGTCATAGCCAATTTTGAAAATACAACCCTGATAAATTATATACTTCGTATTTCACTTTTGTCTTTTATAAAATTTCCTGTTGCTAAAAGCCATGTAATACAGTGTTTCATATTAATTAGGCTGTTATAAAATATTTTTTAGTATTATTTTCTTGACAAAAGTATTCAGGGCTTGGCAGCACTTGTTAAGTTCCAGCGATCACGTCGTTTATTAGGAGTTTGCTACATTGTTGTCAAGGTAATCCTAATTTCTTTTCTGTGGGGCAAAAAACCCTCTCAATTTGAGCTTACATTATCATTTTCTTAGCAACTTCTGTTAAACTAGTGAGATGTTCTTTTCTCTATTTTCCTAAAGGTTTCCTTGTTAGTGGTGGTTGAAATTGGTGTATTTCCTCTCATCTGTGGCTGGTGGCTGGATATATGTTCCTTGGTAAGAAAAGAAATAAATGGGATGAAACCTTTTTTTTAACACTGTTTATATTTGAAGCAAAAAAACCAGTTCTGATGAGAAGAGAGTTGTTCAATATGAGTTTGACAACACTCTTCTGTTTTTATAAACATCATTTCCACAGGGAAAGGGATTTTTAGGTACTGCCTGATGCTAATTTTGTTTTTCTTTATGTTCCTAAATACAAATTAACATGCTGTTACTAAAATAATAAGAATAGAATCTTTTTTACTGCAGTTACAAGACCACTGTGGTAATTAGCTTACTTATAGGCAAACTTGTGCAATGAAGAAATGCCTTTATGTAGCCACCTCATGTGAAATGGTAATGACTTCATATTTTAAGTTATCCAGTCCCTTTTTGTTTTGAACAAGATACATGCTGTGTTTGCTTGGAATTGAGAAGGACAGTTTTTCTATCCTGAAAAAAAATTGAGTGCCTAATTTCAAATGGAGAAAATTAATTTCTTGCAGCCTTAATAGAAGTAGAATTTTACTTAAGGGAGTAAGTATTTGCTTCCATCACACTACCGCTTTGTTTGAACTGATTTATAACTTATATAGGGTCTGTTAGAGTTGACTTCTTTCTTCTTCCTGTTGGAAGAAATAAATTGATCAGAAATCGATCTTTATTTACTGTTCTTATTGTAAATTTCCTTTTTTTTCTAATTAAATGCTATATTTATTTATCTGTTAACACCAGGCAGACATTTAAATTTGTTTAGTACTATATATGAACTAGGGTAAACAAAATGAGTAATTGTGGATGTTTGCCAAACTCATTCATATTTGTTTACTACTTACCTTCTAGGAGATGTTCGATGCCACTCTGAAAGACAGAGAATTGAGCTTTCAGTCTGCTCCAGGTACCACAATGTTTCTGCACTGGTTAGTTGGAATGGTTTATGTCTTCTATTTTGCATCCTTCATTCTTTTACTGAGAGAGGTAAGTCTGTAAGAACAAGAGTGATATGTAACATATTTAGAGGCTTGCATGTTGAACAATTAAATCTTTCACATGTGGGTATTGTTGCTACTGTGTTTTGTGTGTATATTGAATTTCAGCCTTTGGTTGAAAGGGCCATGCTGGTACTTTACTGCAGTGGAAAATTATGATTTAAAGTATATTTTACTTAGAGATTTTTAGTTTACAAAGAATCCTTAAAACCTGGGTGTTGCCTTCAAATTAATCTAAATATGTTTTAATTGTTTAAGATTGGTCACTACTTGAAAATTAAACTTGTATTTGGTTATTTCTTCTCTTCTTCTCTATGATGATACTTCCTTTGTTCTATTTCTGTGCCACTTGGTTGAATCTTATTCAACAAATATCCCTATTATGTTAAAACTTATTTGTTGCAGGAGTGTTATTCAAAATGAAAAACAAAGTATTTTCAAAAATTTCTCTTTGTATATTGTTTTCTATTTCCTACTTCAGGTATTGAGACCTGGTGTCCTATGGTTTCTCAGGAATTTGAATGATCCAGACTTCAATCCTGTGCAGGAAATGATTCACTTGCCCATCTATAGACATCTCAGGAGGTTTATCTTATCAGTGGTAAGGACTTTTGTCAAGATTTCTTTACTTGGAAAGAAAATTTCCTTTGTTGGCTCCCATATATGGTACTGTGTATTTAAGGAAAAAAGACTTTCACCATGAAGGTGAATTGATACTGGAACAGGTTGCCAACAGAATCTACATCTTTTGATACTCAAAACTGAACTGGATAGGGTTCTGAGCAACCTCATGTAACTGGGTCTGCTCAGAGCAGAGTTCTGAGGGGTTAGGGAGGGTTGATTGAACTCTAAAGGTCCCTTACAAAACAAATCTTTCTGTGGTATCTTCTCCTTATGCAAAATCGCAGAAAACGTTTGTATATTCAGACAACAAATGTTTATTATCATGGATATTGTAAATCATGTAATGCTTTCATGATGCCTTCAGTTATTGCAGTAACTTTGTGTGTCTAGTTCAGCTAAAATAGTTCAGCTAAGGGGAAAGTAATTTTCAAGTTTAATTTTACATTGGATTCTGCTGATCTAGCCAATGGTGTCTGTTTCCAGATTATCATTGTAAGATATTAAAAGCAATGCAAATTTTTTCCCCTCTGCTTGTTTGGTTGAAGTTTGCCAAGCACGCAATAAAGAAAGGGTCTCAGACTGTCTTTGACGTAAACATCACATCAACTGTGAAAACCGACACACCGGAAACATTCTTTGATGTACTCTATTATTACACCTGAGGTGCTTGGAGCAGTGAAAGCTCAGAGAGGGAGTTTCTATTCAAGAACCCTTCAGTACGTCAGAGGAGCTGACCTGTCCACCTTTCAGAGCATTTTCTTCTTGGATAATCATAATTCCTCATCTGCCTAAAACTTTATGTCACAGTAGGTGACCCAAAGACAAGCAAAGATCTGCTTGTTACTAATGATCTGAGATATGTTTTCACACTGTGTTGGAACAGACAGTTACTTGAACTTCACCTTTTGATTTGCTTAGCTAATGAATTCAGAACTTCTACTAGCCTCATATTAGAATGTGAGACCCAGAATGGTAATCATTTACACTTCTCATTTCAAAGAATAAGTCACATCTTTCACGTTTTGTTTCTTTTTCAATATTTTTAAGATATGTCTTGTGTAGAACATTAAATATTAATTTTCAAGGAGAAGGAGATTTAATTTTTCTGTTCTACATAGTTAAACACATATTTTATTTTTTTTTTTTACATTTTTAGTCTCTAGTGGTACATTTATATGAAATGTAAGAATGTGTTTAAAATGTACTTAATTTTTCATCTGGTTCCTTAAGGAAATGTGATTTATAAAAGTGCATGGTCTTCATGCACCTGATTCACCTACTTAAGTTTTGGTCTTTCAGTCAGCTTAAAATGTGAGAAAATAGAAACTGAAACATCTTTTGATGCTTCAACAAGTTGCTTGAAAAGTCAGTTGCTTAGAAAAGAGAGGAATACAAAATTAGTAATCCTGGTGGTGGGGAACAGCAAAGAAAGAAGAATTGTCTGACATTGCTCTGTCAGCAGGCCGGTCAATGCTTATTCGGTCACAGTCCTCTTTGGTGAGAGCATTGTAGGGTACGGGCGAATGTTCTTCTGCACTTTGAATGAGCAGCTGAAACAGTGTTGCCAACACAGGCCTGTTGGCTTCAGCTAGACAGTGCTTGCATGATATCAAGGCAGGCCTTTTCTCTTTCCTGCTCTGCCCCACTCCCTCACCCCTCCAGTGAATAAGCTGTGGTTCCAGGGTATACTTTGAATAGTTGACCCAAACTGACCAAAGGAATACCATATGACGTCGTGCTCAGCAGTAAAAGCTGTGGGAAAGGAGGAAGGGGGGGCATTCATGGTTATGGTGTTTGACTTCATGAGTTCCCAGGAAGCTGCTAATTGTCTGTCTGCTGATGAGAAATAGAGACTGAATTCCTCTTATTGTTTTGCTTGTAGGCACAGCTTTTGCTTTCTGTATTAAACAGTCATTATCTCAGTCTTGCCTTCCTTCTGTTTTGCCTTCCCCTTCAGCAGGGAAAGGGCAATGAGTGAGCAGCTGGGTAGGTATTTGGCTGTTAGCCAGGGCTAACCCACTACACAGGGAACGTGTCACAGAGATGGGTGGGGAGCTAGATTTGGTTCTTTCTACTATGTGGACTAACTTGTTTACTTTCTTGTTGCAGATTGTCTTTGGATCAATTGTACTGTTAATGCTCTGGCTTCCTATACGCATTATTAAATATCTCCTGCCTAACTTTCTTCCATATAATGTTATGCTCTACAGGTAAGCATTTATTTTTTAAAAGTTGTGTTTCTTCAGTCTTCCTATAACTAGAAAAAGTGCATTTGTGCTCTTTGAGCATTAATGGGACTTTTTTTTGCTATGTTATTTTGTTTTCAATTAATCTAATATTCATTGTTCTAGGGAAGTTAAAAGGTAAAGGACATGACTACATCATACAGTTTGTCAAGTGAAAAGCTACTAACAAAAATTAAAGGCATTTTGTATTACTTCCATAATGATAACTCTTTGGGGGTTTATGTCCTCAAAACACTTACTCTTTCAACTTTTTGATAGTGAAGTTGCTTTCATGTTTGTTTTTTTTAACACACTCATTCCTGATTATCATTACTACAAGAATGAAAGAATATCTGTAACTGGATTTGTTTTTGATGATAGCAGGTTTTTTCTGTTTCTAAATAATAATTGAAACAGTGATGATAGAAGCAGATAAAAGAGCAAACTGTATTCTCAGATATAATCTTTCTCAATGTTTTTTCTTAAATTTCTTATACACCTAAATGTCTAAATACTCATGAACACCTAATCTCTGCCTAGGGTAGTATATAAGGAAAAATGTCTGGAAAAAACTAAGAATTCTTCCTGTTGGCATCCAATATATTTTTGTGTTGTGGTGGTGTTAATATGATTCAGTGTAAAAGATTGCTATCAGAATGTTCCTTATGTTTGACTTTCTATTCTTCCCATTGTTTCTAGTGATGCTCCAGTAAGTGAACTTTCCTTAGAGCTCCTTCTGCTTCAGGTGGTGCTTCCAGCTTTGCTAGAGCAAGGACATACAAGACAGTGGTTGAAAGGTCTTGTACGAGCATGGACTGTTACTGCTGGATACTTGCTGTAAGTACAGAGATCCAGAATCAACTACAACCATGTGTCCAGTTTGGCCTTCAAACATGAAAGCACTGTGCTTTCAAGAAAGTTATCCCAACAGGTAGCTTTAATAGCTCTTTTACAGATAATGATGTGATGGAAAACTTCTATAGTGATTTCTTTTAATCAGTATTTGTACCGACTTCTGGACTTGTCTTTGACAAGTAATTCTTTTAGTACACTATTGCAGTATTTGCTTAGTGAAAAAAATCTGTAGAAGTATGACTAATATCTTGTTAACTTTCTATTACTTGAAAAGAATGAAGAGATAAGTGTCAGCAGAGCATTTCCATGAGTCATGTAAAATTCACGTGCACTTCCTGCACTTCTTACTATAAGAAGGAAAAAAATAAAGAAAAATTATTTAGAACATTAAGCTGAAAAAGTGAACAACTTTAAATCGGGGATGTTAAAGTTGAAAGTTCAGTCTCTAAAAAAGGAGAAAGGAAAAACTGTATCTTCATCAGATAAAGTGGATTATTATACTGCTAGGCAGAGTTCTAGCACTTGAAATTATTTTTTAGTTCATCTGTTGTTTGCCAAATTAGTCAAGGAAAAAATAAAGTTGTTTTTCTTTTTTCCTGTATACCTTTCGGTTTTACTTCAAAGTATATTGGCATTCTCCAATGTCTTGCTGAGTGTTACACTACTAGAATCAAGGTTTATTCTTTGCTAAGTTATGTCTGAGAAACTGAGTGAATGAATGAAAGACTTCACTGCAATCCAAAATATTTATTTTAACTTTTCATAAAGAAACTCTCCTCACCCCCTGTTCTCTTTGCATTTTGAAGGGTTTGTTTTTTTTCTATTAATTTTTCCACGTTTTGGTGGTGTTTAAGTATGATGCAACAAGAGAATTTTAGAGACAATGATAAAAATGGCTTTTCTTTCTCCACTGTTGCAGCTGTTTAGAACAGTTGTGAATTATCTCTTCAGCAATTTTAGCTGAGCAAAGATGAAAATCTTCTCTGTTTTTCTCAAAAAGCAAACTGCTGTGAAAATGTTTTCACTGCTAATAGAATATCTACACACATCTTACTCTGCTAAAGCTGAGGAAAATTAACTTCTAAATGTTCATATTGGGTTTGGGTCTTTTTTAATCGAATTCAAATTTTGCTAATGATATATGTGGGAAACATCAACAGAAAGTTTTTTAAATAGATTGACTCTTTTATGATTGATTTTCTTAGAAAGTTGTGACCAGCTTTTGAGCCATTTAGAATATCTTTGAAAGACTCTACCTGCCTCTGTACTTTTGAAAGCACGTCTATAGCAATGATCTGCTGTTCTCGTACAGTTTAGGTTTGAAGGCAATTGTTTCCAATAGAGCTTGGTAACAGTAAAATAAAAGCTGTCAGTAGAGCTGTGTGCTTTCATGAACTGAAATAGCAATGCAATTTTCCTTTCATAAACACAGCCACTGCAATACCAGGTGATGTTTTTAAAGCAATCAAACAGATAAGTGATTTTTTTTCTTGTGACTGTGTTTCAACTGTTCTAATCTACATCCCCTAGCATTTTCCTTCTAAATTCTGTGAGTATGATGACATCGAGTTCATTATCAGAAAAAGGCTTATTTTACTTTATGAAAATCCTGTATAAGTTTTGTACAGCTTGTATGCATTCTGAGTAGGCCTATGTTTCTATAAGTTCGTATCAAACAGGACAAAACTGAAATTTTGATTGTTACAGGGATCTTCATTCTTACTTACTTGGTGACCAGGAAGAGAATGAAAACAATGCAAATCAGCAACCTAACAACCAGCATGCTCGCAATAATAATGCCATTCCAGTTGTGGGAGAAGGTCTTCATGCAGCTCATCAAGCCATACTTCAACAAGGAGGACCTGTGGGTTTCCAGCCTTATCGTAGGCCTTTAAAATTCCCACTCAGGGTAGGTATATCAAACACATAAAGAGGATAGAAAATGAAATTGGAAGAATATGGTATTTTTTTTGTAAGAAAGGCTTGGCCCACGTTATCAGAAGTCAAGTGGTGGGTCGTGTTGTGTTTTGTATGGTTTGCATCTTTCTAAAAGGTAGACTTACAGTTATTCTCACATAAAGCTTTTTTCAGCTTGTCATTTCTATGATTTTACTTATAGATCCCATATATGTTGTCTGTTATCTGTTAGTTTACATCTTGGTTTCTTCACAATTAGTAATGGAGAGAAATACAATAAGCCCCCATCAAACAGGTAGTTCGGGAATGCCTCTAACAAGGCATGGTTTTTAAGGGGGCATACTTTGGTCTTGTAGCTGAAGTGTATTTTAAACTCTTTGGCTTTATTAAGAAATTAAATGGAGAATTTCTGTTTCATTTGCATCTATATTAAACATAGAAGTGTTATAGTACTTAAAAGTTCTAAATCCCTAAAATTAGAAAGGAAATGTTGTTGGCAAATACTTAAATTTCTAGAATAATATACAGGTCAAACTAGATAATTATTTTGTTGTTATCAGAACTCTGAATTAATCAAATATGAACTTCCAACACAGCTTGCTTACTGTGAGAATGGAAGCAATGGCTAACAGCGTGACACTGTGGTAGTGCTTCTGAAATTTCCTTCCTTTATACCCAGAAGTCCTATCAAGGAAAATATATGTTACAGATTTAACTTTCTCTCAGTTGTCTGTTAAGATAAGGTGTTAGCTTTCCCAAGTAGGCTTGCTTTTTGTGTGTCTTTGATGATTAATGAAGCAGAGCCGCATAGCACATGGTGCTTGAGACATATTTAAAGAAGTCAAGTACATGATAATTCTCCGATAAGATGTAAACCTGACTAAAGAGTGACCAGCTTCACTGTCATCTTCTGGTCACATAAACCTGAGGACATCTGGAAGAACTTTCTCAGCAAGATTTTTCACAGAAAACCACTGTCTTGCTCATCTGGCATACAGAACTAGAAACCTTTCAGGATTAATTGAGAGTTGTGCTGGTCAGTGCAGAAATGAGGAGATGATTTTTTTTTAATGTAATCTAATGGAGAACTTCAGTCATTCTGGATTCAAATGTTAATTTTTACTCTTGGGACAGCAGATGCAAACTCTTAGAAAGAAATGCACAACACTGTAGGTGCTCTGCATGTACTGTGGGTAGGTTTCTCACTGCTGATTTATTTGTACAGTAAATATTAGCTGGTATTTGAATATTTTAGTTCAGCTGCCTTTCTAGGATGATGTATCTTTTATGTGGATTTTTTTTGCTTTGGTTAAGTAACTTTCTTATAAACTTTTTCTCCTTTTTATTTTTTCCCTCTTTCAGATATTTCTTTTGATTGTTTTCATGTGCATAACATTACTGATTGCTAGTCTTATCTGCCTTACCTTACCAGGTGAGTCTATTACTGTAAAACTGTGATTAAAAGCAACTCTGCATGTTGCTGTGCTCAGCAGTGGCAGATGTTTTGAAACCATTGTTTAAAGTTAAAAGGAGAAAACGTGGAAAATCGTCTCATTTTTAATGGTACATCATCAAGTTCTAATAATCTAAAAACCTAAATGAGAGTGATAGTACTTGTATTTAAATGACAGAGATTGCCATTCCCATTGTTTTGTTGTAGAATAATTTTCCTTTAACAACATAGCTTCAAGTGCTGAGACAATCTCATTAGTATTGAGAGAAAAAAGGAATTTAAACTCTTGCACCTGCTTTACTGTTTAGAGAAGGAAAATATGTCATTTGTTACCAGGTCTTCTAATTTCTTTGCTTAAATATTCTGAAGGTGTCATTATTGAGTCCTGCAAGGAGTTGGACTTGATGATCCTTATGGGTCCCTTCCAGCTTCAGATATTCTGACCTTGACAGGTCACTAGGAGATTTTGGGAAGTGGCATGTATATCACTTTAAAAATGTATGAATAAGTACTTTAATCAAATCAAAACGATAAGACGTGTAAACTCATTTGAGTTTTATAACCTGGCTGCTGTAATACCATGTGATTTATACCTCCTTGTATTAATGATCCTAAAGTCAATAATGTATTGAGATCAGAGTTACAAATTTTGTGATTGTTTTAATAGTAGTACATAAAATAATTCCTCTGAAATACTGGTAAATGGAGACACTATTAAGAAATGAATAGTAGCAAATGAGTCTCCCATTTTTGTCATAAAGCTTCAGAAGCCTCATCAATGAGTCTTAAAAAATTATGTGAGGCAGTGAAATAATCCAAATATAGCTCATACAATTTAAGTTCAAGCTTATGCACTAGTGCCTTTGCAGTTCTGAAGATTAGTGTTTAGGCTCTGAATAGTGCTGTATTCAATGATTTGTTTTGCTGTAGTTTGGGTCACATTGCTGTCATAACGAAATTTTAGGGGGAAAAAATTTCTACATATGTATTTGGCACAATTTCTGAAACTATTTACATAGTGCTTCACACATTTCTGCATTATGGGTATAGTACTAAAATACTGTTTTATGATGAACAATATTTGTGCATTCATATTTAACAATAAATTTAATAAATGTTTTTTAATAGGCATCCTTCCCTAATACATCAGAAAGCATTACTCTATTTAACAGTGCTTATGTTTTCAGTGTTTGCTGGCCGATGGTTAATGTCATTTTGGACGGGGACTGCCAAAATCCATGAACTGTACACAGCTGCTTGTGGTCTTTATGTCTGTTGGCTAACTATCCGAGCCGTGACAGTACTGGTTGCCTGGATGCCACAAGGTCGGAGAGTGATTTTTCAGAAGGTCAAGGAATGGTCTCTCATGGTGAGTCTCAAGAAAAATTTCTACTGAGTGATTCAAAAAGTAGGTAATGAAACTTGTTTTTTCATTTTTGCTTACAAATTTTACTCTATAATGTTCACTGCATTTTCCTTTTCAGACGATTTCAAAGCTTTTGCAGCTTCCCTTCCTGTTGCATAGGCTAACTAGTTTTGGAAGCCATTTAGCACGATGTTAAGCAATCAGTGTAAATAAGTGTGTGTGTATATATGTTTATATATATGTGTATATTTTTCTGTTTTCCTTTAAAAGGGAATATGTGGCATTATATTATTCCAAATGTTATGCGTTCTCAGAGACATTTACATGTTCACATATACCTCGAAGCTTAACTATTATTTGTTTAGTAATATGACATTATCAAATGGAAAAAAAACTAGTAAAGCTGATAGATGATGATGAACATGTCTCTACAAAGTAGCTTGATGCATATTTTCAGAAAGATCATCATTTGTCAAATCTTATGTTGTTCAACTTAATATTTTTAAAGAAAATATCTGTTATTAGGAGGAGTTCTGATTCTCACCATGAAAGAAAATTTATACCCCAAATTATTATCTTGGTTTTGATTTTGAGGATTTCTATTGTGCATTTTTTGCCTAAGCGAAGTATAGTTAGTTTAAACATTCATAGCATGAATGATCTCTTGTTATGGATATGTTTATGTGCTTATTGAACTATTACAGACAGAAGAGCAGTGTAAGTGTGTATTTCATGTACTATACCACGTTTCCCAAATATCCATCATTTTGATTTAGGAAATCTTAAGCTTCTTTAAGAAAATTCAGAGCCAAACTATAGTGCTTTACTTGTTCTTTGTCCCTTCTCCTTATCATGCTAATTAAGTCAGATTAGTTTTATATGATGCATGTAAAGTAAGAGAATTCTAGAATAAAGAAAGATTCAAGCATGGTGTTCTGCGTTTATCATTTTTAAGTCAAATATTCCATAATGACTGAATTTTTAATGTTTGGTTTTCTCTGGAGAAAAGAAACACCAGTTTTGGAAAAATTATTCTCCAATTTTCCAACATACTAGAATACGTGATACGATGAAGTGCCATTGGGTGGTATTCCCTACTGATAACAGTCAAAGGTTATTTTATGGTTTAGAGTTATATGGACACTAGTAGGCACAGTCATGTTTGTGGGTTTTTTTTGGAGGGGGTATGGAATAGGACCCAATCTTGAAAAATTACATTGCAAAACTACATATGTAATAAAAATTATTTCTAGGTCTGCGTAAGTTTGGGGTTTTTCTGCCAGAGCTATGTGTTCATGTAGCTTAAGTTACATTTTAAGCTTAAACAAAGAATCCTCTGGTAAATATATTAATTAAATGTCTTGGGGCTTTTTAGATAATGAAGACATTAATAGTGGCTATACTGCTAGCTGGTGTGGTTCCACTTTTGCTTGGACTTCTCTTTGAACTGGTCATCGTTGCACCTTTGAGAGTTCCTTTGGATCAAACACCTCTCTTCTATCCTTGGCAGGTCAGTTGCTCCCATTCCTTTGCTGCTCTTGATGTAAGGAGTTATGAGCGTTCTTGTTTCATGTTGATTCGGTGCCTCAGAGCATTTTCTATAAATATGTTTCTGTGTGGCAGAGAAAAGGCAGCCAAGTCTGGATATGAGGATTATTTGAACCAAAAGGATATGGTGAGGAATTCAGAGTATGAAAAGCTAAACTGTTGTGAGATGACATCAGAGGATCTTTGCATTTCAGTGGCCAGCTAGACACTTTGTCCAGTAGCATCATTGTAAAGTTATGTAGGAAGTTAGTATAACTGTATGTATGTATGCACATACTCTGTCTGATCTTTCTGGGTAGCTTTCTGCATACAGTTATGCAGCAGGAGGTTCAGCTGATCATTTTTTCCTTACAAGGCTTTAATTCAGTAATGATGCCCACTATAAATGGAATTTTTATGTGCTTTAGGGTCATGCTGGTTTTGGGTTGAGATGTCAAATCGTTAATACAAGATTTTGAGGTAGTCATGTTTTGTTATTCTTCAGTCAAGTCTCACAGGCAGTGCAAATTTCTTTTTCTTCAATCCAGAAGACAGGACTGAGTGATGAATGCTTCCATCACATAGGCTGAATTATGAAAGAACTCATAACTCAGACACCCAACTGAGGGAACCATAACTCAAGATATTTAGAATGCATTTACTAAGTAACAAGGAAGTGTTCAGGAATAGTGACTTTGTAAGCTGCCCACAGGCAAGCTTTTGTTTACTTTCGATATCCAAATGTTTGAAAGCCATAATACAGAGAAGAATTTGACTGCTAATTTAATTATTCCATTATTTTAAAATACAAGTATATTTTTGAGGTATCTGAGTAGATGACTAATAAATCAGGACATCATATAATTGCAGTGATAAATGATCTTGATTTCTAAGTGGTTTTGGAAAGAATTTGCTATGCTAGATATTCTAAAAATTCTTGAGTTTTGCATGTTAGTTCTTTAGAAGTTTTAAATACAGTATACTGAAAAATTTTATTTTCATGTGGCAGAGCTTCCTCAAAATAATGGATTAGAGGAATTTGAGACTTGTTGTAAATTAACAAGAAGCTATTGAAATTGAGAATAATTTCCATTTTTCACAAAAGAGCACAAAGTTATACAAAGGTTACAGCTTTAAGTAAACATGAATCAACTTTAATACTGACTTTTTTTTGTAACAATTTTTTAAATTTTTGAAAATAGATGTGAACAAAAGCCCTCTTTAAATAATTGGTTAAAGAAAACGTATTTCCTTAGCAGTTTATGAAAAGGATGATTAGTCTATGATAACTTAAGTCTTACCAGTTCTGTAGCTGTTTATTATACCTTTTCAGCCTATATTTTGCATTCTATTTTTGGTGGCTCTTATTGAAAATCTTACACATATCTGTAATCCAGAAAGGATTGACTCATGATGTAAAGTTTAGTAGAAGCCAGTAGTTATATTATGTTCTTTTAATTCCATGCCATAATAATTGCAGTTTATGTTAAAACATAAATTTTCTTCTAAGTAGTATGATGTTTTCTCATGAAGAGTGTTGCCTTGCTTTGTTTAGCTTTTCTCACATCAGAGAGGGTTTTGTGAATGACTAAAATTTAAAAGAATGGAAAAAACTCCTTTCCTGAAGTGGGTGAACATCTTTGCATCTTGTTTCTATTCTTTTTTTAGAGGAATCAAAATAACATCCTTCTAGGTAAATGTTACCAGTGTTAACTATTCTGTACCAGAATGATAGTCTGTTGCTTTATGTAAGTGTAATGCTTTTGTTTTGTATTTGCTTTTGGTTTAATAGTAGTACTGATTTTCCTCGTACCAGGGAGCTAATTTGACAGACGTCAGTTAAGCTTGAGAACATCCTGTTTTCCATAGGAGTTTGCAGATGATGTCACCCTTTTTAAGCAATGTCCTATGTAAATAGAAAAGTAATTATATTTTCATTTATAAGTAAGATTAACAAGATGCTTGAAAAGCTTTTGGTTGTCTAGCTTTTTAAAGATATGTTAATGCTAACAGTCCATTTTTACAAAATTAGGACTGGGCTCTTGGAGTTCTGCATGCCAAAATAATTGCTGCCATAACGCTGATGGGTCCTCAGTGGTGGCTGAAAACTGTTATTGAACAGGTAGGGAAAATCTGTCCATGTGAATTTTTCTGTATAATACATTTTCAATGTTTTTTGAATGTGTGTATCAGAAAACAGAATTACTTTTGTAGTAATGGAGTAATTAAGTAAAATTCATTTAGTCTTGTAGAAACCTTTTAAATTGTATAGCCTAATCCATTAAGGTACACTTAAAAATAAAAGCAAACCTCAGAAAGCTGAAATCAAGAAAAGCTGCATATACCTATATGCATTTTTATCAGATTTCTATTAAAGTGAGAAAGAAACATGATTACATTTTTAGATGAAGTCAGTGTGTCCAAATCCTGAACATTATTTACATCCACGTCTCAAGAACAGAGAATTTTGCCTTCTCTGGAGCTATAGGTATTACCCCATTCACAGATTAGTACAGATGAAAGACACTATTCCCATTCCCCTTTGGTTATTAAGCAAGATGGAACAGTTCCTGTGAGCAGTTCCAAGTTGCATGGCCTGTTCTTTTCTGTGGCAGAAGTATTTTTTTTCTTGATTATAATCTTTAAGTTCTGTGCTTGTCATCTTAGTGAAGTATCTCAGTTGTTTGCCAGAAGGTAACTTTTCATCCCTGCACAGTATGTGATGGCTATGGTGCATGTCCCAACCTCTGTACACAAGGTGCCTCTTTGAGTAAGTCTAGCACATAGTCTCAGTTATTAAATTACTTTAGCTGTCACACTGCAGAAATGTAGTCTTAGTTCTGAGAGTACCTTTTGATGCATATCATGGCTCTTCCTTCCATTTCAAATGCTCTCCATGGGCCATCAGTCACTCTTCTGAGCCATCCTCACAAATGGTTTCATCCAGGATGTGAGACAGAGGCCATAGTCTGGCTGTAGGTGGTAGCCATTCAAAACTAGTCTTTTGCTGTGCTTAATCTAGTTACATTTTGACCTTAGTTTCTGGTAGTAACTGGAGAAACTTAGCAATTGTGCAGGCCCTTTCTTCAGGCACAGACTACATGCAGAGGCTCTAGTCTGCCCCACCAAAATACAAAATAAGTTCCTATTTTCTGCCTGTTACCAAATTTAATAGATTAATTCTGTTGGTGTACACAGGATTCTCTTCCAGTACAAAGTTAACAGCACAAAGTGATCCCAGGTCACCCACAAAAACGCTGTCTATAGCTCTAATAAATGATCTTTCAACTGGTTTCTTGCATTCCTGCAACTGAATCACAACACTATTCCTGATTAAGTTAGTCTCTTGGGCACTGTTTAAATGATTTCCTGGAACACTCACGATGCAGATTGGCAGAGAGCTTTTCCTTGTTTAACTGTGGCCATCACTGCTTTCTTCAAGTTGGGAACGCCCATGTCCTTTCATAAGGAGAATTGTGCAAAACCTTTTGATTATTAGTGTAAGTGCAAAGCAAGGCTTTCACGATTGATCCCTTCTACTTCTAACTTGTTCCTTTTTAGGTATACGCAAACGGGATTCGTAACATCGACTTACACTTCATCATCCGTAAACTGGCAGCACCCGTAATCTCTGTTCTGTTACTCTCGCTGTGTGTGCCGTACATCATAGCTTCTGGTGTTGTACCTTTACTAGGTAGGTATACATTCAGAATACCTGTTTATCGTCTGATGGTTTATAGCAGTGTAAATATATTTGTGGAAATAACACTCCAAGCTCTACGTTATTTGAAAAAACCCAAACAAGCAAGCAAACAAACAAACAAACAAACCTCACCAAAAACCCCCCTCTATTCTGCCAACAAATGTAAATGCTAAAGGATTGCTGTGTCGTCTTAAAGTGTGGCATTTTTTTGAGAAATGCAATACATTATTCTGACTAGCTACACCAGGAGTATGGGACTGAATAATATCTAACAGCAAAAATATAGGTATCTAGCTGGCTTGAGAAAGGAATAATTAATTCATTTCTTCTTTGGACAACCTTTAATTTTAGTCTCTCTGGGAGCTATACTGAGCTGAGGCCATCTTTTTCTGACTTGTCAGATTCTAAACAAAGCTTAGAACAGGTGAAAATACTGGGTTTGTTTTGAGATTTTGATAGTATTAGAATAAAATGTAAATTTTAAACATAGAGATGTTTTTTTTTAAGACTCTCCTGTCTGAGCTTTTCCATCAACAGTTGTCTTTTGGTAGTTAGTTTTGATGTTAACAATATGTTGAAGAAGTCCCATTTTATTCTCCGATCTCTCACTTGACTTCTATTGCAACTTTTTTCTGATACGAGGTATACAGAAGTCAATAAGCAAAAGAACTTATAAGCCCTTTTGTTTTTAACTGTGGATTTTCACTGTGCTAATGGAAAACTTTCCACTTCAGTGCTTCAGATTAAAAAGAACAGCAGCTGTCATGTTGGAACAGTGGGATAAATGGACGTGTAATTTATTTCACGGCCGTTCTACTGAAGTTACAGTATAACAAAAAGTCTAGAAGCAGGTAGAAAAGCAAAAATATGTGAGTTGCTTCAGCAATGTTAGATCATGTAAGGGTTTTGTCTTGTTTTGTAGGGGTTACCGCTGAAATGCAAAACCTAGTCCAGCGACGGATTTACCCTTTCCTGCTTATGGTGGTGGTTTTGATGGGAATTCTATCCTTCCAAGTCCGCCAGTTCAAGCGCCTTTATGAACATATTAAAAATGACAAGTGAGTATAAAGTGTGGGGTTTTTAATTTTTCCACTTTAAATTGTGATAACTTCAGATTGAATTCAGGTATTGTAGATACTTGTGACGTAAAGGGATTTTAGGAAGTTTTCTAGACAAATGGCCCGTTGAGACAGACCTAAACTGTTCTTGGCAAATGTTTTATTTATGGTTCAGGTAGACAAACACAGGAATAGACTGTCTTTATAAATGGAAGACACTCCTCCATGTCTAACATGAATGCGTTTTACCACAAATGAAGCTGATTGCTTGTTTGTCTCCTGCTGTGTAGTCTTGAAGAACTAGTGAATGTTATGATTATGATACACCTGGAAGTAAAATCATGTCACAATCTGCTTCTTATAAAACCATTTCTTCAACCTTTTCTGCATAACTGTTTTTCGTACTCATTAGTCAAATTAACCTGTTAAAGAATGTTCAGTTGATTTGATAGAGTTTGTCCTTACCAAACATTGTATGGTTTTTTGATTTTTTTTTCAGTAATTATTAGTCTGTATTACTCAGACAACGAGTTTGTACAACAGGAAGTAAGCAAATATAGTCATGCCAGTCAGTAGAGATTTGTGGTTTAGAAATACACTTAATTAAATCTTTCATATAACAAATTCTAAAAGCATATACAAGTTTTTATGAAATTCTAGAATGTACAAAAAATATATGATGGTTGTTGTTTATGGTTCCGTGACAAAAGGAGAGATGGTGAAAAAGTTTCTAAAGGAAATGATAAGTTTTAGGGGAAGAATTCATAGGTGCGTATGGCTCTTCTACATGTAGAACCAGCAAGTAAATATGAAGCATGGAGAGGAATTTAGGTGGCAAAAAGTAGGAGTGTGAATCAATGACCTACAGAAGTAAGGAACAATGTAAAAAGTACAAAAACTGCTGAGCTGATGAGATGGTATAATGTAGAAACAGAATTTAAATAAAGGAATCTCGCACCCCTTAAGCTTGACATGGAGTAGCATTAGGATATTTTCTTTCCCTTTAAAGAAAGATAAAGCTGTAGCAAAAGTTCTTTCTTTGCAATATTTACTTTTTTTCAACCAGGAGCTGAGCCTTGCTTAGCTTTACTGAGCGCATGTTCTGCATTGTCACAGATTCTTTTTTGAACTTAGAAGAACCTCATTAGCCCTTTCATTTTGTTTTATATCAGAGTTGTTTTTCCAGATGTTCAAGTGAAAGAACTCAAACACTCAAACAGACACTGCAAAGATGCTCTCAAAAGTATCCAGCAAAGGGCCTGGGTATATAAATACTGCAAACACACTCCTTATATTTCATATCTTCATGCAGTTTGTATATGTCTGAATTGTATGACTACCAAAGTTAGGCCTGTAAATACAAACCTGTAATGCCTGTATTCCATTACAAGGTGCCTGAATGTTGAGAAAAAAGATGAGGGTGGTTAAAGTCCATTAAGGAGGGGGAGGTATTGCTTATAGAGTAATGTTTACTGAAATGAGAAAGCTGCTTCTGCAGAAAAGGAAATAGAGTGGATTGTGTTACAAAATGCTGTTAATTCGTGTTAATTCCTCACTGTTTTTCCTGTAATCCCAGGTACCTTGTTGGACAACGACTTGTGAATTATGAACGGAAGTCTGGTAAACCAGGCACATCAACAACTCCACCTCAATCTTCACAAGAATAGATGGTCATATTAAACATCTTGACCTTCCCTTTGCCTTTACATGTCCTTTTTTCATAGACTCTTCTCATCTTTGGATATCTCTCCCAATAATACTCTCGGCAGTGTTTTGGCTTCTGTTAGCAGCATCCAGATAGCAGTTAAGGCTTTGTTCCTTATCTGCATTTTCTGATGTTATAAATGCTGTCTGAGATCTGTATATGTGTAAATAGAAGTATCCTGACACCCTAAAACCTTGGATTAAAAAGAATGTGCATTGTACATCTTTAAAAAGTATATTAATTTATTAAATCTAGTTGTCACTTTATTTTGGACTGCTGTTCTGTTGACAATGTGCCACAAAGCAATAGTGCGAAGAGGCAAGATGTTTTTATAAAATTTGGAGCTTACTTTATGGTGTTCATAACAGATCCTATTGTAGTAATACAGTATGATTTTTCATGAGTGGAAAGGCCACAGAGAATATCAAAAGTAAATAACTGTCTTACAGTCAGCAATGAAGTGGCTGTGGTGAGAACATAATGAACTATGTATCTTGCTGTCCAGTCTTTTTTATTATTTTGTATAACACCAAAGCTGTTGTACATTTTTCTATTGCCTGATTGTTTTTCATGTGTCAGAGTTTGTAATATTGTACAGTTGCTGTTAAATCAAGAAAATATTTCCTCTTCTGAGAATTCAGATGTACTTGTTAAGGCTCAGCTGGATTTTTCTGTTTGGTTGAAGGGGTGGGTGTTGGCTTTGGGATCAGGATTTTGTGAATTGAAACAGTAAATAAAAATTTACTAAGTCTAGGTGTTGGAAGCATTTAAAGGTATCAAGGAAAATTAGATAGGTTCACAACTTAAATTGTAGCCAATTTCTTATCAATAATAGAATTTTTCAGGACCTCAAGAAAAGGGATGAACATTAACTGATGTGCTTGCACAGCACAAGGAGCATAGTGTAAGCAACATCCTGACCTGGTCCTTAGTTAAAGAGCTTGAAATCTTTTTTCTGTAAGTTACCAAAGTTGAAAATTGTAGTATGAATTTTATATTGCACAATTACTTTAAAAAAAAACAAACCCAACCAAAAAAAATTCTCTCAGAATTGGTCACTGTGAATTTTTATGGGAATAATATTGAAGGAAGTGATTTATCATGTACCATTTATTTCCTGAGGGGCAGGGAAATACATATGCTATTAAGCAGGCAAGGAAGAGTTAGCAGATATCTTTGCAAGAGCACAGTCAAACAAGAGCCACCAAATCAAGTCTGTGTTATTTCTATATGTAGATAGAGTTCTTTTGCAGTAATGTTTGGGGGGGCTTATGTAGATAAAGAAAATACATAACAGTATCACAAAGCTTTAAGTAGCATCAAATCACATGCTTAGATTGCAGTATCTTTCCTAGACCAATGTGGGAAATGTGAATATCCATTACAGTAAGGAGAACATCAATGGAACATTTTAATTGCTGTTCAGTACACTCTTCTTCAGTATTCTGTACTTAACCATGTGTGTATATAATTAATACTTGAGAATCCGGCAAGTGCTTTGAAAGTGTCATCTCCTTCTATTGATGTTGCATCTCTGATCTAACATTGTTTTGAGCTAATATGCTCCAGGCTGTGATGGTGGTAGTTCATTTTTTGGTGTCTGGACTCGTGTTCTAAGGCAGCGAGAACAAGCCAAATGCATCTGAATCTAGTGGCAGGAGGACTGGGCTGTCACTATCAGATTCATACTATTTTACAAAATTACTGTTGTACTGATGGTTTTGAACCACAAATATTACCTTTTGGAGTGATTTATTAGGAAATTTCCAGTGAAATGAAATCAGAAAAATAGCCTAAATATTTTTCTTTCATTCACTGTTGCTTACTTAATGCCAAATTGAGTATATATTCACCCCATATATTTTTGATGTGCATAAATATTGCATTTGACTATTTACAGTGGTGTACATTGTGGGACAAATATATTTTCACAATAATAAATTCACTGATAACATACATTCTCACTTATGCCAAGATTCCGTCTTTGACATACCTTTCACAAACAGTTCCAAAATGGGCTTATCACTCAAATATTGCAAGCACTACTGTGCATCATGGAAAATTTACAGTAGTGTGGTACTTGTAACTTTGTGTTTTTATCCAGACAAATTGGTCTTAATATTAAAATTTATTAAGAAAAAGCCTTTGTGCTGTTTCTTACCACTGTTATTTCACAAGTCATTAAAGAAAAAAGAGAATCGGGCCAGTCATGCAATGTGATCTGTAGCTGTTTTGACGTAGCTTACATTATCTGTATTCTCTCTTTGTTACAGAGAACTGGTTTCAAATGCAACTGTTATGCTGGCAGGCATGAAGTTTGTTTCCAAAACTGTCCATTGTGGACTTCAGAAAAATCTCATTTCCTTACCTCCTTATTTTTACACGTTTTGGGAAAGAATATGGAGGTTGTATAGAACAAGAATTAAATAACAGTACTTTTTTATTGTTTTAAATTTCAATGGTTTGCCTTATTGTGCCCTGAGTAGTCCTCTGGCATAGAAACATGATAGTAAGCATGTAAGTTAAGTGGCTGTTACTGAGACAGCTGATGAGATCTGTACCAGTGGCTTCCATCTGTGCTAGAGTAATACAGCATGCTGTGGGCTTATATTACTCTTCAAGTGGAAAAGACTCTGTGTGTGTCCGTGTGTGTGTGTGTGTGTGTGTCCGTGTGTGTGTGTGTGTGTGTGTGTGTGTGTGTGTGTGTGTGTGCACGTGCGCATGCGTGCTCTTTTACCCCAGTTCGGGTTGACCTTGGATCTTGAATGGAGGGGTTGGAGGTATGTACTGGCTTAATTGTATCCCCTTTGTGGTGTTGAGAATCTAACGCTGTTGTTAGTTCCACAGGCCTTCATCCAAGAACTGTCAAGATGGCTCTGTAGCTATCTTTTGCATTCTGAAAGAATTTAATTGCAGCATGGCTTTGACTGTTTTTACACAGATTATTTTATATTGATTAAAAATAGTTAAAACTCTGCATCCCTTCTCGGTCTCCCCCTTTTCTGCTGGGTGAAGCTGAAGTTACTTGGTTTTGTTTGAGGGCCCTCTGGTACCTGTAACTGCTTTCAGTCCATAATTTCCTTGGCGAGATGCCAGCTCTAACACAATTACAGTACTCACATCACTTTTCAGCTGAGTGTATTAATTCTTTCCTTGCCTCTCCCTAAGACTGAGTCAAGATCATCATAAAAGTCTGCACAGCAGTCCCATTATTCTGCAGAGAACTCTGTAAAAAATACAGTGCACAAATGGGTGGTTTGTTGATTTCACGCCTGGCATGCTGATCAGTGTGGTTTTGTTTCCTTGGACTTCACTGTCCGTTTGTTTACATATAGATTGGAAGTTCTTTGTGGCAGGGTCAGTGTTCTTGTTCTGCTTGCCTTGGGAATGGCAATGGAATTGCCTGGGCAATGAGTGAGGCTCTTAGTAGAAATGATTATGCAGATAATAAAAACATTAAACAAGGAACTGAATCTTGGTAGTATAATGAAGTTCAGGATGCAAAATAAAGGAAGCTGTCTTCTGAAACAGATAAGAAACAACTTTTACAAAGCATAAAAGTAAGTTAGAGCTCTCTTGTATTTTTTAATTAGATTAATTGAAACTAAAGTTAGCAACAATTTTATTTATGGTTATTCCACAAGCTATGCTTCTGGTATTAATTTCTTCATTTAGAAGTCACCATAAATTGAGAAACGATATGCTGAAATCAAAGTTATTCAGTAATGGAAAATTTTAAAAGACTGTATTTCCAAAGGTCAAATACCAATCCAAAATAAACTAAATGTTTCAAATTCAGGATAGTCCTGAGGGATGGAGGAAGGGCAAGATTATTTCACAACTCTGAACATCAGTTTTGCTGCTTATCTACTTACCTGCAGTTATCTCTTGCCTATTGAGTAGAAGCCAACGCCAAAGCTGCATAGGCATTTCCCACCCACCCCCCATGAAGAGATGTCAAACATCTGGAGTTGTCTGATATCCGGTGGGGGAGAAGGGGTGGTACTTAACATTACTTGTCTGATTCCTCACAAAATCACTTGGCTTTCGAGGGCCGTTTGTGTTCTGGAAAGTAAGACTAGAGAGAACAGAATTCCTTGTTGCTTATAGTAGAGAACACTGCAAAGCTAATTTATTTATACTGGATAGAATTTCTGTATTAGAACCCAAATAGTGCCGAGCAGCACTGGTTTGCCATGTTCAGCAGGTGCAAATTGCATAAGTGGCCTGCTGAAGTCCAATAAGGAATGTGCTGAATCTAAAAATACTGTGGATTAGAATGGAGTGTACATAGGTGTCGTGGTTTAGGAATGGTATTCTCCAATTTAGTGTTGCCACTGAAACCACTCCACGCACTGCTCAGCACTGCTCGCTTACTACCCCCTCCCCTTTCTCTCCTACAACGGGCTGGAGAGGAGAATTGGAGGCACAAAAGGTAAACCTCCCGGGTCCTAGCTGTGCCCCCTCCTGGCTACTGCAAAAAATAACCCTGTCTTGGCCGGAACCAGAACAATGGGATATTTTGACTAGTTGTGAGCAGGAGGCACGGAAGCAGGAAGCAGCAGCAGGATTTCTAAGCCGAAATTAGGCAATGGTGCTGTAAAAGAACAATTACGTTCATGGATATACTTTTAAATGCTCTTTGTATAAGAGTAATGGGTAAAATGCACGGGAGGGAAGTACTCCCTCTATACTCAATGTATAGCAAGAATCTGAGTTGCTCCTTTTGCTGAAGTTACACATATGTTTTTATTGCCTATATCTTCATGGAGTTTGATCAACCTTTTCTTAACAGAAACTAGGCCTTACTCCCTTTATAGCTTTGTGCCAAGATTCTCAACCGGACCCATCAATGTCCTTCTCACTGTGCCTCTGAGAGTTTTGGGGTTTTTTTTCTTTTTGTTCCTTGTTGAAAGGGTTTTGTTGACCCCACAGCCACGGTACTGCTCTGTGTAATCCTGAGTTTCCTTAAACAACCTTGCATTAATCTGCAGATAATTAACATCTCTCCTCACACCACTAACCCTCAAAACTGAAGCATCCCTCCCTCACCTACCTCTTGATCTTGTTTTTACTTACCAATTATCTCGGAGGTTATTCCACTCTTTGTTATGCTGGTTTGGCCTTCCTTTTACATCCACGAGTTACAATGATCTTTAAGTAGATGTTTTAGTGTAATTACATGTGAAAAGCATACTACTTTTAGCTAAAAATGAGTTCCCAAAAGTATAAATGACTTCTTAAAAGGAATGCCATCCCAGTATGCCAAACTTAAGCCAACATGTGTAATTATGCATTCTTTCTGCACCATTAACACAGGACTAATGAGTAGAAAATTTGCAGTATATCCAGTACTGCTTATAAGTCAGGAGGCTGCATGGTAAGGATGGTCATAACTCATGTATCTCCAGGGTTTTTTTGCAGTCCCCTCCATACCATCCTGTTTCATCCCATCCATCCTCCCCCTGTAGTTAAATATATGATGGTTGGGGTCAAAAAATAAAGGAGAGCAGTGCCCATGCTCCTTTTTCTGCAAAGAGCAAGGACTGTATTGCCTAGAGTTTTGCTTATTACTTGATGCAGTGTGTCTTGTTAATTTTTGTTACATGTAAGCATTTATACAAAGATTAATTTGGCCATGCCTTTATAGATTAAGCATGTTCTGGAGCAGCATGTGATTAATTGGTAACCTATTTTCCAGTTATTTTTCACTTTTATATGGAAGTTTTAGCCTTTGGCTTTTTCCACTGGTTTGCAATTCATATAAAATAACATGTTTGAAAAATACAGAGTTTTTCTTTAAATACTCACAGGAAAAATTCCACCTACATGCTACTGTTTCCCATAATACAGTATGGCAGCTTTATGCATGATTTCACTGCACTGGACCAAATCACTGGAAGAACTGAGGATATGACGTTTACTTTTTGAGCATTTTTGGGATAGTTCCAAGTGTGTCCAAGAACTGCAGATGACAGAGAATATGAAATTTTTGCTGTTTATCTGTTATCCCTAGACACCTTGGAAAAACTGCATTGTGAAATGATCTTAATTTAATTCCACTCTGAAACTCCTGCAGGATAATGTTTGCTGCATGTTTTTCTTTGTCCTGCATGGCCTTACATGTTCATCAGTGGGGACATAATGTGGATTAAAAAGGGCTTGCTCCAAATAAGATTGTGTGCTTCTGCAGTAACTGTTTGGCCTGTTTCAAGCACAGAGCACCCAAGTCTCTTTGGAGCAATGGCTTCTGAAGGCTTTCTGAAGCGAATAATCCTATTACCAAGTTAATTTGAGTGCTCGAGCTACTTACAGCCCACGTTAGAAGGAACGGGAGGGGCATTGCTTTATAACCAAGAGATGCACTAGTGTCTTTACAGAGGATGCCATTCAGGTTATCTCCGGTGCTGTCTTTTTGTGCAGTGGAAATAGGTCTCGTAGCTGGCAACCAAGACTTGGAGGCAGAGAGGGCACTGAATCCTTGGAGTTCTGAAGTGGTGGGAGAACCCATGCTGCCTTGTGGGGCCATATTTGGAGCACTGGGTGCTGAGAAGCAGCTGGCACTGGACATGCTGCTCTCCATGGTGGCAGACCTTCTGTGGTCCTGCTGTCTGGAATGTTCGGGACCGTGGCGGCTGCCCAGCAGAAGTTGCTTGTGGCTGAGCTGCCCTTGAAAGTAGCAGCTACTGCAAATAACGGGAATTTTGGGGGATACGTTGCTCTATGTCTACTTTTCAGCTCATTCAGCATTTGTTCACATCTCATCCAAGCTGGGAAAAGAAGTTTAAAAGTGCTAAAGGCAGGATGGACATACCACCCTAACTCTGCTCACCCAGCAGTGCATCCTCGTGGCCATGGGGCATGCAGGGATTAGTGGGCTGCAGGGAGCTCAGGCATCCAGGGACCAGCCATCCCACTATGGGCTCTGCCAGTGATGCGGTACTAAGGTGTTCACAGAATCAATTAGGTTGGAAAAGGCCTCTGATATCATTGAGTCCAACCTATGACCGAACACTACCCTGCCAACTAGACCATGGCACTAAGTGCCACGTCCAGTCTTTCCTTAAACACCTCCAGGGATGGTGATTCCACCATCTCCCTGGGCAGCCCATTCCAACATCTAATCACCATTCCTCTGAAGAAATTCTTCCTAATGTCCAACCTGAATGTCCCCTGGCACAGCTTTAAGACCATGTCCTCTCATCCTGCCACTGGTTGCCTGGGAGAAGAGACCAACCCCCACCTGGCTACAACCCCGTTTTGGGTAGTTTTTAGGGAGCAATAATGTCACCCCAGGCTAAACAACACCAGCTCCCTCAACCACTCCTCCTAGGACACATGCACTCCAGACTCCTGAATTGAGGGCCCAGAACTGAACACAGTATTCAAGGTGTGGCCTAACTAGTGCTGAGTACAGGGGAAGAATCACTTCCTCAGTCCTGCTGGCTATACTATTTCTGATACAGGCCAGGATGCCACTGGCCTTCTTGACCACCTGGGCACACTGCTGCCTTGAGTTCAGTCGCTGTTGACCAGCACCTCCAGGTCCTTTTCTGCTGGGCAGCTTTCCAGTCACTGTGCCCCCACCCCAGCCAGTAGCACTGCACGGGGTTTTTGTGGCCAAAGTGTAGGACCCGGCACTTGGTCACTGGTCATTGTTCTTGGCCCACTGATCCAGCCTGCCCAGGTCCCTCTGCAGAGCCTTCCTACCCTCCAGCAGATCAACACTCCGACCCAACTCGGTGTCATCTGCGAATTTGCTAAAGGTAGACATCATCCATGTCTCGTGTCTTTTCACAAGATTGAACAAATCAGGGGATGCTCTTGCACTTTAAACCGCGGAGGCACAAACTCTCTCTCCCCGCCCGGCCCCCGCCTTCCCCCGCTCAGCTCCCCGGCCTCCCGCCCGCCCCGGCCGCTCCCCCGCGTTGCCCGGGCAGCGGGGCCGCGGAGCGGGGCAGGTGAGGGGCCGTGCCCGGGCCTCCCCCGAGCCCCGGGGCAGCACCGGGGGGGCGGGGGGAGCCGTCCCGGACGGCTCGGCCGGGGCCGCCATCGCCGCGGCGGTGCCCGGGGCGGGGTTGGGCTCCCGGCGCTCCCTCCCCACAGCTCGGGGCTGGAGGCAGTGGGCCCCGCGGCGCGGCCGGGCCCGCCTGCTTGCGGCTGCTTGTCAGCCTTGAACTCCTGGGGCTGGTTTTGGGTGCGTGAAAGGAAAAAAACATTAGAAAATAAGAGCTAATAGGGGGTGAAAGACGTGAGCTGAGCTTTGTGTTTAGCGAGAGTAACCCCTGCCGTGCACTGATGGTGAAGGGGTGCAGAGGCTGCCTGACCTGGCTGTGTGTATATGTACAGGAGGTTCCCTCTGAACATCAATAAACCCTTTTTCACTGTAAGGATGACTGAGCACTGGCACAGGTTGCCCAGGGAGGTGTGGAGTCTCCATCCTTAGACATGTTCAAAACCCACCTGGACATGGTTCTTGGCAGTCTGTTCATAGATGGCCCAACTAGAGCAGGGGGTCTGACCAGGTAACCTCTAAGAGGTCCCTGCCAACCTCAACCCTTCTGTGAGACTCTATGATTAATGGCTTACTGTAGAAAAGCAGCTCTTGCTTTTCTTTGCTTCCTTTTTTTTTCCCCTGATTTTGTTTTTACTCTTTTATTTTACTGTTTCCCGAGGGGGCATACACATGCACATGTATTCCTTCCTCTAGTTTTTTCTGTTATCCTGAAATCCTCAAATTTTTGCATTCAGCTTCAATTCCTTGGTTAGAACTGTGTTTTTGAATCATTACTGAATGTGTGTGACCAATAAGGTAATTAAATGCACTCTCTGAAGTCTATCCCTGATACAAATTTGCTGCGTTGGAGTGGTGAAGATGCTGTGCTCTGTCTGCATTTCTCCAGAAATAAAGTTCTAAGTATGGTTTGATCCTCAAAGGAACCTTGGGTCACAGCAGTCCCATTCCTCCATCAGTGACTTTTAATTTTTTTTCCAATGCAGGAAAATTCACATGATAGGGAGAGAAAGCCACATGCCAGGTAGTCTTATTTTTATCTTAAAAATTAAAATAATGTAAAGGGATAGAGGATGCTGTTATGTTGATTCCTTTCTCGATGCTGTTGCTTTCATTGCTCTTCTCCTCTGCAAATAACCAATATGTTTTCAGTTCTTGTTGCCAAATCAACTTAAATAGGGTATAGTTTGTTCTTGAAATGATGAGGACGGTACTCAGATTTCCCACCAAATGTGTCCCATTTCAATGGGAGAAGTACCACACAATAGCCTATCTCTTTCCCTTCTTTTGGATCCTGGGTGACAGAATTCATTGCAACAAATGAGTTACATCCTGAATGAGACAAACATACCTGTAGAACTGTATGAGCAAAGTGCAGTGTGTGGTTGCAGCACACGTGAATGTTTTGTTCATTGCTGTAGTTTTTTTGTGTGAAGTCTGCCAGGAGCACAAATTAGTCACTTTTTGCTACAACATTTTTGGAGTACGTAAACACAGTAGAAACTTGGTCATCTGCATACTCTGGATTCTGTACAAAAATGACAAGATTCTCCTCGGTGCGCAGTAGTGAGTTGTCAGCATAGCTAGCTTTCACACTGGCATGTGTGATGTGACTTGTCTGCACTGCCTGTTTTACAAATTTGTATTGTGGTAGGTTTGAGGAGAAAAATCCGTTTAAAACTGCCTAAAGATACTCGTTAAAGTAGTAGTTCTCCTCATCCAGAGCTGTGGTTGGTGTCCAAGCTCCAGTGTTTTACTTGGTGTTACCACCAAATTAAAGTATTTTAGAGAAATGCGGTGCTCCTCTGACAGACGCAGACCCTTCTAAGTCTGTCACCTCTCCAGTAGCCCCAGCTGTCAGGTAGGACAGGAGGGAGTTTGGGGATGAGCACTGTTCACCCACAAGTGCACACACAGCTTTTCATTCATGTTCTGTATCTGTGAACTGCTGTTTTATTTCTTTCAGGTCCTTGTGACTGAACAGAAACCGACCATGCCTCTTCCAGAAACCATGTTTTGTGCTCAGCAGATCAAAATCCCCCCAGAGCTACCTGACATTCTGAAGCAATTTACTAAAGCTGCTATTAGGACTCAACCTCATGATGTTTTGCAGTGGGCAGCTGCGTAAGTATGATATTCAAAGAACAATAGGGAGCTATACATGGGGACCCACAGTTTACTGCTCCTGTTTACTATACAGTGGAGCTGACTTTGAATATTACATCAACATATATTCCATATATGTATATTCCATACACGCTGCTTTGTATTAATGTGGTATGAGAGCCTTTTAAAAAATAGTGTAGTACTTGATTTATTTTCTGCTTCCTTGAGGCTTAGGATTGGCTTATTCCTGGAATAGTTTGATTTCTATCCAAGAAAATGCATCTTAATTTGTTTTTGTTATTACTTTTTCCATCTCAAAGACCAAACCTTTTTAATTTGGTTTGGTTTTTTTCCTCTCATGTGAGATTTAATTCTTGAAATTTAAAGGCAACCTAGAAAATAACCTTCTAATTCTTAAGCTTGTTAGGTTTCTTCTTTTCTTTTCTAGGAAAAGTGCCTGAAAAGTTGCAACTTTTAAATGATAATCCATGTAATAAATCTCTCACTAAAATGTTGATTTAAGATGTTTAAATGTTTCTTCTTTAACTTCTATTTTTTTTTCTTTCACCTCATCTGCCCACTATAATTTTTTCCTGTTCTATGGTTTGTGTGGGCAAGCTCTTGAAAGGTATCTGTGAGATGTTCTCAGCTGGGGGGACTGGAAAACATCTATACTCTGTACATGAGGGAGGGGAGGCTATTAACAAAGCCAGACTGGGGTCTGTCTTGTCCATAAAAAATGAAAGAATCTGAAGCTGAATTGCTACAGCTCCAGTGTCAGAGAAAGGCATTGGGACAATCTTAAAATGGCATGACATTTCTTAGGAACATGATGGAGGGGGGGTGCAGCGTACCTCTGGGTGATGGATATGCAGTGAGCTTGTCCCAGCTGTGTCAGAAACAGCAGTCACCAGGTAGCTGGAGCTTGCTGGGACATGGAGCTGGTGAGAGAAGGGGCAGTGTGGCACTGCCATGGCCACACGACCAGCCAGACCCCAGCCTCTGCCTAGAGAGGAGCCCCCACAGAGGAGTAGGCAGCTGCTGCTGATCACGCACCTCTCTAGTGAGCAGAGCAAGATCTGTGCCTGGGAGCCACACAAGGCAGAGCAAGGCTGTGGGTTCACATGTGCTGCCAGTGTTGTAGGCTTGTCCTTGTGAATAATCAGATGGGGAAATGGATCAGGCTGAAAAGTAGCCCAGGTGTTGTATCTACGTACATACCATGCATCTATTTCTACCCAGTCACACCAATGCAGTGCTGCTTGCTGTGCATTTTGGCAAGTATTTGCACAGCATGGAGTAGCCTGGTGGGTGACCAGGGCAGATGAGGCAGGATGAGTGGAGAAACTCCTAAATTAGACCCATCACTACCTGAATGAAAACTGAGTTTTCCTTGCACAGTTCAGATTGCTGGCCAGTTATAGCAGAAGTGGTTGCTGTTGAGGATGTGTCAGCCTTATAATCAAAAGAATGTGCATCTAATGCCCTTTCTGCTCTATTCCTAAATTTTATTTTGGAGAGGACAGAAATAGTAGAAATATTGATGAGAGAGTTGCAGCATTTTGGGTAGTGTTTGAGGGGAATGTTAAACAGATGAGCAGTCAAGTGCTCCTCAATCGAATGGGAAAAGCCTGTGTTTTGTTTGGAAGTGCACTGTGATGTTAATAAATCATTCTCTGCCTTTGCCAAGAAAAACTGAGTGTATCACGCACAAAATAAGTTCAATGTCTTAAGAATTATTAGAATGTCATAAAAAGGAGCATGTAAAATCTAAAGATTGTGGTTTCTGCTAGAAAGAAAGATGCTATCTGAGCACAGGGAGATGGGAATTGTGTGCGTGGGCAGCTTGCTGAGTGCTGCTGCTCCTGCTCAGGAGCTTGTGGGTTCTTTCACTGACCTGTAAGAGCATTTACTTCTGTGCAGTTTGTAATGGCCTTTGGCATTGAGGTGTGTTGCTCTTCCCATTCACTCAGGTATTTTTCAGCCTTGTCAAAGGGGGAGCCCCTTCCTGTGAAGGAGAGGATTGAAATTCCTTCAGCAACAGGGGAAATAGAAGGTGGTTTGACTCCTGGACTTCTCAAAGTCTTGCACAAAAAGGTACAAACTGGCCTTTATCAAATGCACAATGCTACTGAGGAATGCTGATGTGTTGGAGATGGTTGGGTAGACTGACCTTCAAGTGTTTGATGTATTTTGGGGAACTACTCTGTTCTTTGATTCATTCTGGTTTTCAGAGTTCTTACTGCAGTACCATGATTTCGTTTAAAGCTTTCTCCCAAAGGCACGGTAACTGTTACAGAGCTAAAGGAAAAATGGAAGCACTTGTGTTTGCCAGAAGAGCAGCTGAAATCTATCCTGCAACTGGACAATTTTGGCGAGGAGGTGGAATGGATGAAGATTCTGGCACTTGGGTGCAGCGTGCTCGGTGGGGTATGTTCACAACAGGAGCTCTTGTATCTAAACACAGATGGTTGTCTGTGATCATATATAAGGTCATAGAACAATTACTGCAAATGGATTTGGAAAATGGTGATTGCTGTTGCAGCAGCTGGCAAAGTGGCTTACATGTTTACTTCTGTTCTCCGTCAGATTTTAGTTGGGGGAACTTAAACAGAAAGATGGCTAAGTCCTCAGTTGACTGGGATGGCAGTAGAAGAGCAAGAATGTCTGCAGAGAGCTTGTACCATGAGAGAGAGGATGATAGAGGAATGATACTGATGGCATCAGTGTAAATGTCCGTGGAGGAGAACTGGAGGGAGAAATTAAAGCACCAATTTTTAATTGATTGTGTAGTCAATTAAATTTTCACGGCAGCAGTTAATGTTACTAAATTCACATTTAGTTCTTTTAATGTCAGGAACAATATCTCAGAAGAGCATTTCAACAGAATGGAAGACTATAAAATGCACTAAGCTGATGTTCTTATTAACTGTAATACTTTTAGTGATTTCTACAGTATGGAAGAAGAGGTATTAAAAAGAAAATACATACAAAATAATATTTTGAGATTGTTGCAATATCTGGAAACCCTGAATGTTGAGCTGGCCTGGCAATGCAATTGTGTGTGTATATATCTATTTATATTTACTTATTTCAACTGTGTATTTCTTCATTCCAATCTTCTTCCTAACATGATCTTGTAGTTCGGGCTCTTTTCTTCATTTAAAAATAGTAACAGCAATATTACTTATCTAGAAAAAAGCAACCAACCAAACAAAAAAAATGGAGTAATGGAAGCATCATTCTGATGGAGCTAGACAGACTAAATTTACATCCATGTCATCATTCTTTTGGATATTAAGTGAACTACTTGATTTCAGTACTATATAACGAAACCTAGACTTCATTTTCCTAAACCATAGAGGAAGACGCACACAAGAAATTTAAATTCACTTCCTGCAGCTGTAAATTGTGGTCATAGTTGAACAGAGTCTCAGCTGAAATACAAGATTAGACAAGTGTGAACTTCTTAAGAGCACCAGTTTGAAGTATCTTTTTATAAACTAAACACCAATGTGTTTTTACAGCCTTGAGGAAATGACCACACAGGTAGCCTGTTAAATAGGCTTTCAGGGGTGCCAAAATGGATGTGAATAATTTTGCTGGGTTGTGAGAGAGAGACACAGTGGCAGGAAGGGCAGTAGAGAGGTAGCAAAATGCAGAAGGTAAACTCTGCCATCATAGAGGCAGCTGCCTCTCCTTCCACAGAGAGGCCTCCCAGGGGATTAAATACATTAAGTAAAACTGTTAAAGGATTATAAAATTACACTTCTCTGGCCTGTGTTCTAGATCTTAAACAGATATTGCATTTATTTTAGGTATTGCTAGTCTAGTGTTAGAAAATACTATCTTTTTACGTAGTCATTGCTTGCTTGTTAATGAAAAGGTAAGGGTGAGTTTTGAAAATGTTACAGCAAAAAATATTAACACTTGTGTTAAAAAAGGCCTTGAGTGGTTTTGAGGGTTTTTTTGGTGGTTTTTTTTTGGTTTAGTGTGCGCATTTGTTTGTTTATTTCTTTCTTTAATGGCATCCAACCAGTCTTTGACTGAATGTAACTTGGTGCTTAATTTTTCCACATTTTTCCCCATATAGCTCAGCATGAAGAGGGCACTGGATTATCAACACCATATTAAATAAAGAATTTTTTCAAAGTAGATTTGGAAAATAATTTGTGGCATGGGGTTTTTTAAGGTAACTAGGATGTTATTGCCCTTTGACTGAACTGAAATGTTCTTCAAATGCTTTTTACCTCAATGTTTTTTCTACTAACTACTAAAATAGAACTTGCATACAGATAGAGGAAACAGTAATATCAGTTAAAATATTATCTAAAAATTATATAATATAATGTCAGAATAAAAATCACCAAACCCATGTTCATTTTCTGGGGTTTGTAGATTTATCTGTCTTAACTGCTGCTGAAAATTCGTTTAGAACCATTGAGATAATAAATATACACATACACACACATATGTCTATCACTAGATATAGTGATGTTCAAGCTCTCACAGTAGCAGAACAGAGCAATTTGGCCATGTTGGAGATAGGGGTTGTATTACCCCATGCAATCTTTAAACATCACAGGATTCTGGTATTTTTTGCTACTGTCTCTGGTAGAACTTCATTATTTTTTTTACCCTTGGACCTGCACTGGAGTGTAACTTTGGGGTTTAAAGCTAGATAATGATGATAACACCTTCATCTCATTTACCCTCACTTTTAGTGGCTAACAGTGTGGATTTTGTTGTAGTATGCAAAGGATGTTCATGGCTCTGATACTTCTCCTCTCGTTTCTTGACTTAACCCCCTGCAGTCCTTACTGAGTTCAATGAAACATGCCTGCGAAATCTTAACAAGCGAGCCAGAAGGTGGAGCAGCTCCGATTCCCTTTGAAACATTCTCGTTCCTTTATTTGTATTTGGCCAGTATTGACGGAGAGATACCAGAGGATGAAACTGAAGCATTCCTCCACAAAATTAAAGAAGAAGCGTAAGTAGAAATCTGTGCATGGAATTTTAATGTATTAGTCACCTCTGGGTTCTCCATAAACCAATTTCAGGTGAATACTTTGTCTTCAGACATGGCATAGCCATGATGACAAAAATAACTGTTGACTAAGATTATATCAAAAGTGCACATAGTTATTTTTTGACAGCTTCATTGTTTGAACTGTTAAAAGATAAATTGTTATTTATCCATCTTTCTCTGAAATACTGAAGTCGCTGTCTGGTGGTATAATTTTCCCTGTAGGATGCAATTAGATACAGGCATTTATCAGCTGTATATTACTGGTTCTGGAACCAGCAGCATCTTATGGGCTGCTGTTTTGATTTAATATAGGTCATAAACCAGAGAGAGAGAGATTGGCAGTTCTCTTATTTTATCCATAGTCACACATGGGTCACACAAAATGCACTTTAATCAATTTAAAAAGATCCATAGCAGGCTTGTCCTCTAAGTGCTGCCTACATAGCATGTTTGCGTACAGGCGCTTACTCTTCCTACTGTCTATCTGGAACTGGTCTTTCTGTGCCTGGTGGGCTGACCCTGGATGAATGCCAGCTGCCCTCCAAAGCTGCTTTGTCATTCCCCTCCTCAGCTGGACAGAGAAGAGAAAATATATAGAAGGCTTCTGGGTCGAGGTACAGGCAAGGAGACATCACTCACCAGTTATTGTCACAGGCAAAACAGACTCGACTTGGAGAATTCTGTTTCATTTATTACCAATCAAATCAGAGCAGGATAATAAGAAATAAAAATGAATCTTAAAACACCTTCCCCCAATCCTTTCCTTCTTCTTCCTCAAATTCACTCCCCATTTTCTCTCCCACCCAGCACTTCAGTGGCACAGAGGGATGGAGAATGGGGACTGTGGTCAGTTCATTACACATTGTCTCTGTTCCTTCCTCCTCAGAGGGAGGACTTCTCACACACGTCCCCTGCTCCAGTGTGGGGTCCTCCCATGGGAGACAGTCCTCCAGGAACTTCTCCAACTTGAATCCTTCCCATGGGATGCAGGTCTTCACAAACTGCTCTAGCATAGGGTCCCTTTCATGGGGTGCAGTCCTTCAGGAACAGGCTGCTGTAGTGTGGGTCCCTCATGGGGCACAAGTTTGGCAAACCTTCTGCAGTGTGGGCTCTTTTCTCCATGGCGACACAGATCCTGCCAGGAGCCCACTCCAGTGTGAGCTTCCCATGGGGTCACAGTCTCCCTCAGGCATCCTCCTGCTCTGGCGTGTCCTCTATGGGCAGCAGGTGGATGTCTGCTCCCCCATGGACCTCCATGGGCTGCAGGGACAGTTGCCTCTCCATGATCTGAGCCACGGGCTGCAGGGGAATCTCTGCTCCAGTGCCTGGACCACCTCCTTCTCCTCCTTCCTCACTGGCCTTGGTATCTGCAGGGCTGTTGCTCTCGCATATTCCCACTCCTCTCTTCTCCAGCTGCAGTTGCAGTTTTTTTCCTCCCCTTCTTAAACACATTCCCCCAGATGCACTACCACCGTTGCTGTTGAGCTCAGCCGTGGCCAGCAGCAGGTCCATCTTGAAGCCAGCTGGCATTGGCTCGAACAGGGGAGAAGTCTCTGTCAGAAGCTCACAGAAGCCACCACTGTAGTTCCTGCCTCCACCTCCCCCAAAAACCCCCTTGCCACACAAACCCAGTACATTTAAGATTGCTATCAGCTCCAAGTACGTGGGAGCTCCGAAACACGAGCTGTACAAATGACCTGTTTCATCATTAGTTACCAGACTGACAATTTTTAGTAAGAACCACTTTTTAATCACACCACTTTTGCTAGCAATTCATATAACCCTAAATTGTATCTTGTCCAACACACTAGGATTTACCATGTTAAAGTGCCATTCTAAAACATTTGGTTTATTCCTTTCCAGGGACAAACAATCTGGCATGGTGCTGATCAGACACTTTCTGCCACCGACCTTCATATTTTATTAATCAACCCTACTGTTCAGTATGAGGTGAGAGAGAAAAAAAAAAGGAATAAATAAGTTCAAGAAAATAATTTGTGTTCAAAGTACCATAATTTGCACATTTCAGTACAACACGATCCTCTTCTCTCGCATTTCCTTTTCTTTGTCCCATTCTTGAAATGGCCCCACAGGGGATGTTAATTGAATACATGGTTATAACTGTTCTCCTGCCTCTCAAATACTGATGCTTACACCTAGGGACCATCCCTTCACTTACCTGATTATATTGAGCAAAAGTTATTTTGTTATGGCTCTTCCTACCAATAGTTTGTAAGCGATTGTAAGAAAAGAAGTAAAATACAAGAATTAAATTTAGACAAGACTGGACAGTTATAATTGAAGTGTTTCTCATTATGCTTCTGGTAGCACTGACTTTGACTCTTACATAAATACAGCTGTTTTTTTGACTACCTTGTTTGCCTGAACAGCCTTTATTTAAATAAACTGTTTTACCAAGCCCTACTGAAAGAGAACTTAATGAGAACCCCATGGCTGAGCTGCTAAACAAAACCACCTCAAGATCTGCAATTGTTCCGTATTGTTTTCCCTTTGATTAGGACCCTTTCAGAACTTAGATATGTTTTTTCATTCTTAGATGAACTTGTCTAATTAAGAATCTGTTTTAGAATATGTCCTGTTTTCTAACATGAAAAGCTACTGCATTTGTCACGTAGGGCAAGGAATGCCTGACACACGGTTGTTTGGTTTTGAGTTGAACTGCTGTATAGAAGCCTAAATCCATCAGAACTAGACCATGTATTTAGTGACAGATAATTACACTTAATTGCAGAAACAGCTGAGGTATGAAACAGGATATTAGTGGCTACAATAAAACCGGAGAGATTCCTTTTGATTGAGAAGGCCAAAACCAGGAGCACATGGACTGCCCTCTCCCGGCACCTTGATCAAACAGAAAAAAAATTGTAGGAAAGATGGATCTGCAAGCTTGTTTTTTATAGTTGCTGACTTCCTTGAGGCAAGAAGCTTGGCTCCTCGTGACTGACCTTGCTGAAGTAGAGTGTGTGAGGAATTAACAGAACCACACATCCTTAATATATATGTTAATATATGTATGCATGGCTTAAGTCTGCTTTATCAACTTCTATCACTACCATTTGTAGAGTCCACAGGATGGGAACACCTCCTAGTTATTGCTGGAAGGAAATGGATATGCCCCTGGTGTTTGAATATGGTACTCAGCAATATTTCAAGTGTCCTTGGTGCCTCCCCACTAGTTTCTGTGGAGAGCTATATTCTCATCATCTTTGCCAGATGACATTGATCCAAAATTTCTTTGAGTATGAGCTTGGGAACAGTAACTTTCATGTTATTGTCAGTTTACCACTAGCTGCAGTTGAAGATGTTTTAGCCTGTTGAAGAACTCTGAAATATGCCCTCTGGTACATCTGTAATTAGGCGTAAGTACTGTCTGTCTGGAACAGTGTTCCCAGAGTGTTAGGTAGGAGGGGAGCTCTCTTCATGCTTTTTCTGTTTGTAACTGATCCTGGACTCCAGGGATTAGCTCTGTTCTGTATCCACTATGGGCCAGGAAGGCCAATTAGTACGGCCTCTCACAGATTTTATTTTTCAGTCTTGTCAGACTAAACTCAAACACATGAAAAGTCAATATAATTTATTAAAAGATGCATGAATGTTACAGATTTACACATTTTCTGCTCTATATACTGCTTCCACTCTGGCAAACCTTAACACTTTTTTGTCTCAAAGCACAGCTATGATGCAATACCAGTATCATGTACACAGCGTTACTGTCCTCAGCACAACAGCAGCAGCAACAGTTCTTGTGCAAGTAATTTTTTGAACAGCTGACAAACACAATAATCAGGTTCTTGTTTCTACTTTCTTCTTTTATGCCTGTGATACTTGTCTTCATCCCTGAAACAAAAACGCAAACATTGTGGGGGCTGTTAGACTCAGTCTAAAGGGGAAAAAAAACAACTTGTAAAATGGTAAGCTCTCATTAAATGTAGTCATGTCCTCTGCTAATGAAAGAAAGTAAGCTACTTTAAGACAGTTTATTTCCCATGTTGCTTTAATCAAAGCCTTGTCATGCAGTGCAGAGGCAGTTAGTTTAGGATGAACGACATCACAGTGTAATGAAGCCAGCTTTGATAGAAGCAATCATAGCCATCCATGCACTTATCTAAAAGCATTTACCCGTACATGCAGCATTTCTTCTGCACAACAGCCCAAGTCTTTGCTTAAACACAGGTCCTATACACCTACAGTCCTGTAGATGTAAATATATCCTTGTTGATGGTATCAGAAGGTGTGGCCTAGATTTGTTTTCTTTTGCTTAAAAATATGTGCAGAAATACTGAAGAGCAACAGCAGTTTTGAAGCACCTACCACAGAAAAGCTAGTCAACTCCCTGTGTTTGTATGTGTATGCATATTAGTGAAACAAATAATCCTACTTATTAAGTTCCAGTGCGAACTAGAGCAGAAATTAACATTAGACATGACAAGCACACTTAGCTGTGGATGAGGGACATACTGTCTGTTACAGTAGTGCATTAGTCCTGCAACACGCTGTTGGAAGTGCCACCTTTCAGATGTGAGATTTCAGATTCTGAAGTCTGGATCACAGTTTGTGGTCTCACAGCATGTTTTGTTCAGTGTTAGTAGCCTCATGCACTGACGACATACGGCACATGAGGTTAACCTAGCTTGTTTACTGGACTAGATATTCTTGTTCTCTGCACGAAATTCTCACAGACAGTGGTTGTGGCTGCCTGATTCAGAAGCAGGAATCAGCTGTCCCTATTTATGCTCACCTCTCTCTTTTTCTCCGAGAGTCTCTGTCTTTGCCTCTTTCGCGACTCCTTTTTCGCTTACTTGGACTCCTGCTGGTGTCTCTTCTGTGTCTTGTGCATTCAGTATCCTTGCTGCTTTCCCCAGATTGCCGTGAGTCCACTGAAGCTGACCGCCTGTCTTCCCTTCTGAAAAAAAGGTTATCGATTGTAGTCAATAAAATAGTTTCAGAGTTGCTTTTGGTTTCAGTACCAGTTTTGTAATATAATGACCTACTAACAATGTAAGACAGAGGACATATCTTTCATTAAGCCTCTCTCTCTCCCTTGGAAATACCACACCTCCCAAAAGAAGCCCTATGTCTATGCTTTTATATGTCCACATCTCAGCACATGATTTAATTCAGGTATTTTCTTACAAACACTACCCCTCAGTCTTAACACGTCTGCTTATGAAACGAGGCAGTTGAAGGGGTTCACTCTGTTTTGCTTTAAATCCTGAACTATTCAACTACCTGCCTTAAGCTGTTACCTACAGCTGGAGAACCCAGCAGGCCCGATTTTAGAGAGTCACAGAATCGTTAGCGTTGGAAGGGACCTCTGGAGATCATCCAGTCAACCGCCCTGCCAAGGCAGGGTCAGCTAGAGCAAGTTATGCAGGAACACATCTAGGTGGGTTTTGAGTGACCCAGAGAAGGAGACACCATAACTTCCCTGGGCAGCCTGTTCCAGTGCTCTGGCCACCCATTAACCTTCATTTTAATGCTGGAAACAGTGTCACCTTTTAGTTTGTTTCAAAAACATTCTCATCTCAAAGATCTGCTGAAGAGGCACAAACAAATACGCTATCACTAGGCCATGATTTCATTTTTATTTCACTGACAAATGTTTGAAAGAGTGTACAGTGTTGATTGACACAGGAAGAAATACGAATAGATAAAAATCTCCCAGTTAGCATTCACAGTGATAAGAAGTGTAAAGGCTTCTCATATTTAGTATGTTATGGAAACCTGTACTCTGAGGTATAATATATCTACCACAGCATTTCCTGTCATGTGGTACAGAAAGGGAAGAAATTGTGTACTTTTATTTCCAAGTGTCCTTCTGTACCCATCATCATCATAGCTGGGCTTCGCGAACGAATATTTGGGAAGGGCTCTACCCATGTTTGTTGTAAGCGTGTTGCCTTCTGTACCCACCTACTACATATATACATGCACACTTGAATACAGAGGGAGCATTATTCATTTCCCAGCTCCACGTGTTCACCTGAATCACTTGCAACTTACCTACTTACCCCTGAAAGAAAAATACTTATTAATTTTTCCCCATCCTTCCTCCAGGCAGAGTTTCTCAAGCAAGACTTACTAGAATTAGTATAAAATAAACTGTGTGTGTCTCAGACAAGGCTGGTATGTGCTATTAGAAGAAGGTGATAAGACAAAATTACAGGCTTCAGTCTGGTGACATGCCTGAAGAATCTGTCAGCTGTGGCATACCTTCCTGAGGATTTCAACTTCCCTCCTTCACATATCTCTGCATTATCCAACCTGTTCTCCTCCTGCCACTGATTGCTGAGTTCTTCCATATGCACACCAATCACATCCCGAATCACCTGGAGATTAAGATACATTAAAAACAAACATGTCATGGTAGTAGTCTCAACTAGCAACTAGACAGAAAGTGAACATCTCAAAAAAAAAACCCAACACCCAGAAATCTTCCCCAAACCCTTTATGTCAAATGTCTGAATGGAAAGTCTTATTTGCAGAAACATGTTTCTGTATAAATTTAAATAGCACCATTTCATAATAGTCAACTATATCTTGCTGGCATTTTCACATTCAAAACTTGGCAGTTAGGAATGCTCCTGTTATTTGTAGCTTGCTGCAGCAAACCAAAATCCAAAAATACTCCTCTATATTTGCAACAACAATAAAGCAGTGTACAAGAAGTGGAGAGAGACACATATTCTTTGTCTTTAAAAGAGTATATAATTGTTTATGCTGATATATAATAAGCACTTTTGTGCAAAAAAGCCTTTATTTTCAGATCTCACCTCAGTGTAAGACTTCTTTGTTATATGAACATTCTTAGCCCTGTATGACTGCCGCCGCCTTTTGTAATCTCGCATTTCAGCCAGAATTTCAAGATGGGACTTTGGACCTTTCTGACTATCATCTAGCAAAAAATTGGAAGTAAAACAAATGGTCATTAGCAGGACCTTAGCAGGTCTGATACTTTCAAGAATATAAAATATATTGTGTTCTTGCTTTCTCCAGCATTTAGTAACTATTGTGAATTTAGCACAAGCTTCCTCTCCAACCTTCATGCTAGCTGTTTACATGACTAAAAAGCCACCAAGCAAATACTGTTACGTGATCTCAGTCTCCTAACCGTGATCCAAACCAATATAATGGGCTTGTAATTTGGTCAAACACCTACTAAATAAGGGTCATGTTTTCCAACCCAGTATTACAATAAAAGCCAAAGACTGCAAAAGCCAGACTCTGAAAAACATTTACCCGTGTAGAGGACAAGCACTGTCTCCTACCTCCCAGGCACAGCAGGGCCCACAAAGTGACATAGATGCTTATGCTGCATAGGTGGTTCCGAACTGGCATGACTCAACAGGGA